ACGGTCGACCGTGCTGCGCTGGCAGTAGACTTGCTTGCATGCTAGCTCTGATGTAGTCTAGTCTTGCCAACTTCATTGTACCATTGTTGTAAAACTTTCCTAGTGAAACTCTTGCCAATTCTCCCTGTGAACTAGCAAGTAGTGTGAGCACTTGGAAACGACTAAGGAACAAGTGAACACAGAGATCACACGAGCACACGTGCCTAGCCCGTAGTCCAGCTCCCGTTGTAGTAGTTATCTCCGCACTCTCCCCTCCGCTCCCCTCCCCTCTGCTCTCCTCCAATCCCCTCCGCTCCCCCCCGCTCCCCTCCCCTCCGCTTCCCTCCCCTCTCCTCCGCCCCCCTAAGCTTCCCTCCCTTCCGTTTCCCTCCCCTCCTTTCCGCTCCTCTCCCCTCCCCTCAGCTTCCCTCCCTTCCCCTCCGCTCCCCTGCCCTCACACCCACGGCAGCGAAGAGAACCGCTGAAGGCAGAGATAGCACGGCGGAAACCAGGTCCTTGTGCTTCCCCCATGACGCCACGGTGCCGTGCTGCCGTGCTGGAGGGCGCGCGGCGCGTCTTGTGAGATGCGACTCTCACAAGGCGCACCGGATGCACTGCTGGACTGGACTGCCCTGCGCAGTTCATGCGATGCGCGCTGCGCCCCCCAAGCATGCCAAGCATTGGGTGGCAAGATGCGCTGGTTGGTTGCACACTGGGCCCAACGCTCCTCTGGAAGAAGCGGCGTCACCTAGGGAGGAAGAAGAGGGGTGGGTGGATTGCAGGGTGGCTGGTGGGTTGGGCTGGGCTGGGCTGGGCTGGGCTGGGCTGTGGGATGGTTGAAAGGTGGCATGCACTACGGAGTGTGTCCTCCTCTTGGAAGCTCTTAACAGTGGCGCATACAGCACAACCCCACGCCCACCACCACTCGCCCACCCATTACACAACGACCCTGCACCCATCACACCCACCAGCTTCCCACAACAGGAATCATCGCTTGCACACCACCCTTCCCCTCTTCTCTTCCGCCCCAAAACCCCCGATGCCGATGTTGGAGTGGAAGAGGCGGTCCAGCCCCTGCAGGTGCACCTGTGCATGTACACCATCCCCCACACCTCTGCACACTCTCTCCTCCCCCCCCCTCCCCCCACCACCGTCCCCCCTTCCTCCCCGCTCTATTCGTGGACAGAGACGCGAACGAAACTGCAACATGAAGAAGCGCGGGATGCACGCGGAAACTGTTGTCGAGCCTGTGTGGTTGGTCGTGTCCATTGCAAGTGATGGACCAGTGGACATGAGATGGTTCGGCGCGCAGTAACGGTAGGATAAATGACAACAGGTCTATCGAACTTGGATGGCTGGTCCCTTCCGGCCCTGTAGGCACGCGATTCGAAATGTGTGATGACCTAGCGAAGTGGTTACTGCAGCAGCAACGGAAAGAGCGTTGCAGGGAACAACGAAAACGAAACCTGAGACGAGTGTCTGCGCTGCTCGACTCAGTCTGGCGCCAAATGCGCCGTCGATTGCGCTACTTTAATCGCCACGAGCCAAACATACGCAAGGTGGGTTGTGTGTTGGGCTGCGCCCGCGTCGGACCTTTCAGGGAGACCCAATTCTGTCACCGAACAGAGAGCACGTTCGGCGAGAATTTTGCTCAATCTCACGGACGCGCGGTTTGATTTATTTTTGTCACGTGACCAGCCTATGATCGCGTGAACCGCGATCTGTTTTATTGTTATCACAAACTTCAAGAGAAATTTAGTTAAGTTCTGTATTGCGCTACGCGCGCGCAAAAATAAAACCCCTATAGGTAAGGCATGCGTTAGGGATGCAACAACCCTAAACATCTAAAGGCAAGGTGTTTAGGGTTGATGCCTCCCTAACGCATGCCAGACACAAACGGGTTTTATTTTTGCCGGCAGTGCAGTATAGAACCTAAAGCCGGCAGCCCAAATTGCACAAGTTTTAAAAGGTTGACGCGATGGGTTTTTTCTGGTTTGGGTTTTGACGAACATTTCGATGGATTTCGATTTCGGACATTTCTGTCAAAATGCTAGGCCAAAACGAGAAACAGGCAAGAAGGGTGTTGACTAACAAGCATAGGGATACATATATGCAAACCCTAGAAGGGCTGTACTCGCTATAGAGTACCCCACTGCAGGCTAGACAACCATCACATTCTGACACACCCCCATAGTCAAAGTGGGGTACAATCAACATAACAAGCAGACAGAGCAATAGTTCACAATTATAAGCAAAGCTAGAGGCTATCACAGAGGGCAAGTGAGGAGGAGGAGAAACTGTGGGAGCAAGAAGATGAGAGGCGACGGCTGAAGCTGCAGACACACAGGCAGCAGGAGTACGCCGCACTGACGCTACCAGGCTAAACCCGGACTACACGGCGACAGGGGGTCGCAGCTGGCTCGCTGTGCTCCCAGGAGTGCACACACTGTAGCTACCGGGCGCAGAGCCCCGGACTACTCAGGCCACAGGGGGTCGTGGCTCCCTGGACTTCAGGCGCTGCGGACGACAAGTCGACGGCCTCCTCTCAACTTCCCCCAGCTGTCCCACCCCCTTTTTACACACCCCCTGCTGTTCCCCTAGCACCGCTCACACTACACCCCCTAGCGCCACTCCCTCGGCTCCCACACACCCACCCCCCTCAGCGGCAGCTGCAGCAGTGGGAGACGGAGAAGGAGGAGGAGGAGGGGAACGGCACTCAGTGGCTTCACCCCCATACCCCTCACCCCCAAACCCTAATTCAGGAGAACGGGCTGTAGGAGGGGTGGGGCGCCAGTAGAAGCACGGGGGACAGTGGGGAGGGCAGGGGCAGCGAGGAACGGGCCGCCCACGGGCCTGGCATAGCCGCCCGAACCGCGCGCAGGCGGCCCGAGCCGCGCGCGGGCCTGGCGCTTCCCGTACGGGCCGCGCGCGGGCCTGGCGCAGCCCGTACGGGCCGCGCGCCGGCTGTACGGGCCGCGCGCAGGCCACGACGGGCGACGGGGGGCGACGCGCGGGTCCCCGTCGCCCGTCGCAGCGCCTCCCGGGGGCGACGCGCCGAGTGACGGGGCAGAAAACCGCCGCGCGCCCCGGGCGCGCGGCGGGAAGAAAAAATCGCTGCGCGCCCGGAGCGCGCGGCAGGCAGGAAACAGCAGGAAACAACAGCGGAAGCTTCTGGTGGGACCACCCACAGGATCGACCCAGGAGGGTCGACCCGCTCTGATAGCATGTCAAAATGCTAGGCCAAAACGAGAAACAGGCAAGAAGGGTGTTGACTAACAAGCATAGGGATACATATATGCAAACCCTAGAAGGGCTGTACTCGCTATAGAGTACCCCACTGCAGGCTAGACAACCATCACATTCTGACAATTTCGCCAAGCCCAGCCAGCCTCGTATTTCGCCCTGGGGGTTCTGTCAGCACCCGAAAGTCCCAAATTGCAGGTGCGCTTCTTTTCAAAGCTTGCACACTGCACTTCGTCAAGTTTTAAAAGCATGATCCACACACCTCGCAATTTGGGACTCGGGCCTTAACTAATTTTCTGTTGAAGTTTGTGATAACAATAAAACAGATCGCGGTTCACGCGATCGAAGGCATGCCTCGTGGCAAAAATAAACGAACCGCGATTCCGCGGGATTGAGCAAAACTCTCACACTCGGCCGAGCTTTTCGAGTTGAAATGACAATTGGGCGGGACCAGTTGCGGCACCAAACTTAGGGATTATTTAGATGTCAGTTAATGACACCAAGAACACCGCTCTGCTGTCAGCACACACCTCGGAAACTCACACCTGGGAATTTTTGTTTTCTTAACATGTCCTTAAGTCTAGAGTGCCTGAACTGAACACGCTCTTACTGATACGCTCAGGCCAGTATACTCCGCGAATTTCCGTGGTTCAACTAATCCGGGCTCCTGTGCGATCGATGTCGCAAGGATCGTCTCTGCGCTGGTCGCGTCAGTCGTGTGCGTCGCATCATCGGCGCTCCACGTTCCGCAGTCGCAGCAGGTGCGAGTCCACACCGCTAGGCCTGCCTTGCCCCCCGCAACCCTCGTGACCATCTCCTTCGCCCCTCGCCTTGTTCCCAACTGGCGCTCGCCCGCACTGCGCACTTCTCACCCCACGAACGCCTCATCCCTTCTCTCCGATCTGCGCCCATGTCGCTCCAACCCGACAGTGCCTGCTATGCGCTTCCCTCGCCGTGCACTCTCCGTACCACACCACTCCCCGTCGCCCCTCCCGCCCACCCTTTCGTCTCCCTCCCCCTGCCTCTCACGTCGTCGGCCCGCCCCCGCAGCAGCTCCTTTCCCCGCAGTCTGCGTCGCTGCTTCCTTTCCGCTCCTCCCGATTCGTGGCCCTGCGTCTCTCGCGAAGATTCTTCGCCGCCTAGCTTGCCCCATATCGATCCCATCCGCCTAGCCGCCTAGCTTGCCCCATATAGATCCCATCCCCATATCGATCCCAAGACTCGACGTTAACGTCGGACGGGTTGCGTAGATGTTACATTCCTAACTGACAAAAAAAAAGAGGAAGTGCAATTTTTTTCTTTATTTAGCGCCAAATTTAAGTCTACTGTATTAAGGAATGTGGGAAGTGCTTCTTGATGGTGCAATGTATTCGTTTCAACGTGGATGTTTATGATTTTTAAACATTGAGACACATTGATCGTTTTTTATATGTAGTGAACAAAGATGATACTTTGTATTGTACCATTGCACTATTTTTGGTGAGTTGTTTCAAGCCCAGTCAGTGTCACGTGATTGTGCGTGTGTTACCACGTGACAATCCCACCCACCTGTTGCCTCTCCCTCCCAACCACCCACCTCGTCATAGCATCTACCTCCACCCCACCATCTTTTCTTTCCCACCGCGCCGTCCTCTCTCCCTCCCACCCGCCGTCGCCTCTCACCCGCCGTCGCCTCTCCTTCCTACCCGCCGTCGCCGCTCCCTCCTCCCGCCGTCGCCGCTCCCTCCTCCCGCCGTCGCCGTCGCCGCTCCCTCCCACCCCGCCGTCGCCTCTCCCTCCTACCCCGCCGTTGCCTCTCCCTCCCATTCCGCCGTCGCCTCTCCCTCCGCCGTCGCCTCTCCCTCCGCCGTCGCCTCTCCCTCCGTCGTCGCCTCTCCCTCCGCCGTCGCCTCTCCCTCCGCCGTCGCCTCTTCCTCCGCCGTCGCCTCTCCCTCCGCCGTCGCCTCCCCCTCCGCCGTCGCCTCTCCCTCCGCCGTCGCCTCTCCCTCCGCGTTCGCCTCTCCCTCCGCCGTCGCCTCTCCCTTCGCCGTCGCCTCGCCCTCCCCATCGTCGCCTCCCTCCCTCCCCGTCGTCGCCTTCCCTTCCCTTCCCGCCGTCGCCTCTGGCGACAGGCGCACGAGTGGAGCGCGGGTTGGTGCGCGACCGCCCTTGGTGCGCGACCGCGGGTTTGTGCGAGTCCGCGGCTTGGTGCGCCACCGCGGGTTGGTTTCTCAGGTTCGTTTACCTTTCCCGGTCCCTTTTTCCTCCCCTACGCCTCTGAGTTTCCATGTTTTTTTCTGCTTTTTTCTTTCATTTTGTGTGTCGATTGATCTGTTGTTCCGTTGCACTTTCATTTGAAGAAGAGGGGAGTGTGCACGGGAGCGAGCGCGCCGAGAGTGCGTGTGAGAGTGCGCGTGAGAGTGCGCGTGAGAGAGAATGCGCAAGAGAGTGCGAGTGAGAGAGCGCGTGAGAGAGCGAGTGAGAGTGCGCGTGTGAGAGCGAATGAGAGTGCGCGTGAGGGTGCGCGTGAGAGTGCGCGTGAGAGTGCGCGTGAGAGAGCGCGTGAGAGTGCGCGTGAGAGTGCGCGTGAGAGAGCGCGTGAGAGAGCGCGTGAGAGAGCGCGTGAGAGTGCGCGTGAGAGAGCGCGTGAGAGTGCGCGTGAGAGTGCGCGTGAGAGAGCGCGTGAGAGAGCGCGTGAGAGAGCGCGTGAGAGTGCGCGTGAGAGTGCGCGTGAGAGAGCGCGTGAGAGAGCGCGTGAGATTGCGTGTGAGAGAGCGAGTAAGAGTGTGCATGGGAGTGCGCGTGAGAGAGCACATGAGGGAGCGCGTAAGAGTGCGCGTGAGAGAGCGCGTGAGAGAGCGCGTGAGAGTGTGCATAGGAGTGCGCGTGAGAGTGCGCATGAGAGAGCGCGTGAGGGAGCGCGTGAGAGAGCGCGTGAGAGTGCGCGTGAGAGAGAATGCGCAAGAGAGTGCGAGTGAGAGAGCGCGTGAGAGAGCGAGTGAGAGTGCGCGTGTGAGAGCGAGTGAGAGTGCGCGTGAGGGTGCGCGTGAGAGTGCGCGTGAGAGAGCGCGTGAGAGAGCGCGTGAGAGTGTGCATAGGAGTGCGCGTGAGAGTGCGCGTGAGAGAGCGCGTGAGAGAGCGAGTAAGAGTGTGCATGGGAGTGCGCGTGAGAGAGCACATGAGGGAGCGCGTAAGAGTGCGCGTGAGAGAGCGCGTGAGAGAGCGCGTGAGAGTGCATAGGAGTGCGCGTGAGAGTGCGCATGAGAGAGCGCGTGAGGGAGCGCGTGAGAGAGCGCGTGAGAGTGCGCGTGAGAGAGAATGCGCAAGAGAGTGCGTGTGAGAGAGCGCGTGAGAGAGCGAGTGAGAGTGCGCGTGTGAGAGCGAATGAGAGTGCGCGTGAGGGTGCGCGTGAGAGTGCGCGTGAGAGAGCGCGTGAGAGTGCGCGTGAGAGTGCGCGTGAGAGAGCGCGTGAGAGAGCGCGTGAGAGTGCGCGTGAGAGTGCGCGTGAGAGAGCGCGTGAGAGTGCGCGTGAGAGTGCGCGTGAGAGAGCGCGTGAGAGAGCGCGTGAGAGAGCGCGTGAGAGTGCGCGTGAGAGTGCGCGTGAGAGAGCGCGTGAGAGAGCGCGTGAGAGTGCGCGTGAGAGAGCGAGTAAGAGTGTGCATGGGAGTGCGCGTGAGAGAGCACATGAGGGAGCGCGTAAGAGTGCGCGTGAGAGAGCGCGTGAGAGAGCGCGTGAGAGTGTGCATAGGAGTGCGCGTGAGAGTGCGCATGAGAGAGCGCGTGAGGGAGCGCGTGAGAGAGCGCGTGAGAGTGCGCGTGAGAGAGAATGCGCAAGAGAGTGCGAGTGAGAGAGCGCGTGAGAGAGCGAGTGAGAGTGCGCGTGTGCGAGCGAGTGAGAGTGCGCGTGAGGGTGCGCGTGAGAGTGCGCGTGAGAGAGCGCGTGAGAGTGCGCGTGAGAGTGCGCGTGAGAGAGCGCGTGAGAGAGCGCGTGAGAGAGCGCGTGAGAGTGCGCGTGAGAGTGCGCGTGAGAGAGCGCGTGAGAGAGCGCGTGAGAGAGCGCGTGAGATTTCGCGTGAGAGAGCGCGTGAGAGAGCGCGTGAGAGTGTGCATAGGAGTGCGCGTGAGAGTGCGCGTGAGAGAGCGCGTGAGAGAGCGAGTAAGAGTGTGCATGGGAGTGCGCGTGAGAGAGCACATGAGGGAGCGCGTAAGAGTGCGCGTGAGAGAGCGCGTGAGAGAGCGCGTGAGAGTGTGCATAGGAGTGCGCGTGAGAGTGCGCATGAGAGAGCGCGTGAGGGAGCGCGTGAGAGAGCGCGTGAGAGTGCGCGTGAGAGAGAATGCGCAAGAGAGTGCGAGTGAGAGAGCGCGTGAGAGAGCGAGTGAGAGTGCGCGTGTGAGAGCGAATGAGAGTGCGCGTGAGGGTGCGCGTGAGAGTGCGCGTGAGAGAGCGCGTGAGAGTGCGCGTGAGAGTGCGCGTGAGAGAGCGCGTGAGAGAGCGCGTGAGAGTGCGCGTGAGAGTGCGCGTGAGAGAGCGCGTGAGAGTGCGCGTGAGAGTGCGCGTGAGAGAGCGCGTGAGAGAGCGCGTGAGAGAGCGCGTGAGAGTGCGCGTGAGAGTGCGCGTGAGAGTGCGCGTGAGAGTGCGCGTGAGAGTGCGCGTGAGAGAGCGAGTAAGAGTGTGCATGGGAGTGCGCGTGAGAGAGCACATGAGGGAGCGCGTAAGAGTGCGCGTGAGAGAGCGCGTGAGAGAGCGCGTGAGAGTGCATAGGAGTGCGCGTGAGAGTGCGCATGAGAGAGCGCGTGAGGGAGCGCGTGAGAGAGCGCGTGAGAGTGCGCGTGAGAGAGAATGCGCAAGAGAGTGCGAGTGAGAGAGCGCGTGAGAGAGCGAGTGAGAGTGCGCGTGTGAGAGCGAATGAGAGTGCGCGTGAGGGTGCGCGTGAGAGTGCGCGTGAGAGTGCGCGTGAGAGTGCGCGTGAGAGTGCGCGTGAGAGAGCGCGTGAGAGAGCGCGTGAGAGTGCGCGTGAGAGTGCGCGTGAGAGAGCGCGTGAGAGTGCGCGTGAGAGTGCGCGTGAGAGAGCGCGTGAGAGAGCGCGTGAGAGAGCGCGTGAGAGTGCGCGTGAGAGTGCGCGTGAGAGAGCGCGTGAGAGAGCGAGTGAGATTGCGCGTGAGAGAGCGAGTAAGAGTGTGCATGGGAGTGCGCGTGAGAGAGCACATGAGGGAGCGCGTAAGAGTGCGCGTGAGAGAGCGCGTGAGAGAGCGCGTGAGAGTGTGCATAGGAGTGCGCGTGAGAGTGCGCATGAGAGCGCGTGAGGGAGCGCGTGAGAGAGCGCGTGAGAGTGCGCGTGAGAGAGAATGCGCAAGAGAGTGCGAGTGAGAGAGCGAGTGAGAGTGCGCGTGAGGGTGCGCGTGAGAGTGCGCGTGAGAGAGCGCGTGAGAGAGCGCGTGAGAGTGCGCGTGAGAGTGCGCGTGAGAGAGCGCGTGAGAGTGCGCGTGAGAGTGCGCGTGAGAGAGCGCGTGAGAGAGCGCGTGAGAGAGCGCGTGAGAGTGCGCGTGAGAGTGCGCGTGAGAGAGCGCGTGAGAGAGCGCGTGAGAGTGCGCGTGAGAGAGCGAGTAAGAGTGTGCATGGGAGTGCGCGTGAGAGAGCACATGAGGGAGCGCGTAAGAGTGCGCGTGAGAGAGCGCGTGAGAGAGCGCGTGAGAGTGTGCATAGGAGTGCGCGTGAGAGTGCGCATGAGAGAGCGCGTGAGGGAGCGCGTGAGAGAGCGCGTGAGAGTGCGCGTGAGAGAGAATGCGCAAGAGAGTGCGAGTGAGAGAGCGCGTGAGAGAGCGAGTGAGAGTGCGCGTGTGAGAGCGAGTGAGAGTGCGCGTGAGGGTGCGCGTGAGAGTGCGCGTGAGAGAGCGCGTGAGAGTGCGCGTGAGAGTGCGCGTGAGAGAGCGCGTGAGAGAGCGCGTGAGAGTGCGCGTGAGAGTGCGCGTGAGAGAGCGCGTGAGAGTGCGCGTGAGAGTGCGCGTGAGAGAGCGCGTGAGAGAGCGCGTGAGAGAGCGCGTGAGAGTGCGCGTGAGAGTGCGCGTGAGAGAGCGCGTGAGAGAGCGCGTGAGAGAGCGCGTGAGATTTCGCGTGAGAGAGCGCGTGAGAGAGCGCGTGAGAGTGTGCATAGGAGTGCGCGTGAGAGTGCGCATGAGAGAGCGCGTGAGGGAGCGCGTGAGAGAGCGCGTGAGAGTGCGCGTGAGAGAGAATGCGCAAGAGAGTGCGAGTGAGAGAGCGCGTGAGAGAGCGAGTGAGAGTGCGCGTGTGAGAGCGAATGAGAGTGCGCGTGAGGGTGCGCGTGAGAGTGCGCGTGAGAGAGCGCGTGAGAGTGCGCGTGAGAGTGCGCGTGAGAGAGCGCGTGAGAGAGCGCGTGAGAGTGCGCGTGAGAGTGCGCGTGAGAGAGCGCGTGAGAGTGCGCGTGAGAGTGCGTGTCAGAGAGCGCGTGAGAGAGCGCGTGAGAGTGCGCGTGAGAGTGCGCGTGAGAGTGCGCGTGAGAGTGCGCGTGAGAGAGCGCGTGAGAGTGCGCGTGAGAGTGCGCGTGAGAGAGCGCGTGAGAGAGCGCGTGAGAGAGCGCGTGAGAGTGCGCGTGAGAGTGCGCGTGAGAGAGCGCGTGAGAGAGCGCGTGAGAGTGCGCGTGAGAGAGCGAGTAAGAGTGTGCATGGGAGTGCGCGTGAGAGAGCACATGAGGGAGCGCGTAAGAGTGCGCGTGAGAGAGCGCGTGAGAGAGCGCGTGAGAGTGTGCATAGGAGTGCGCGTGAGAGTGCGCATGAGAGAGCGCGTGAGGGAGCGCGTGAGAGAGCGCGTGAGAGTGCGCGTGAGAGAGAATGCGCAAGAGAGTGCGAGTGAGAGAGCGCGTGAGAGAGCGAGTGAGAGTGCGCGTGTGAGAGCGAATGAGAGTGCGCGTGAGGGTGCGCGTGAGAGTGCGCGTGAGAGAGCGCGTGAGAGTGCGCGTGAGAGTGCGCGTGAGAGAGCGCGTGAGAGAGCGCGTGAGAGTGCGCGTGAGAGTGCGCGTGAGAGAGCGCGTGAGAGTGCGCGTGAGAGTGCGCGTGAGAGAGCGCGTGAGAGAGCGCGTGAGAGAGCGCGTGAGAGTGCGCGTGAGAGTGCGCGTGAGAGAGCGCGTGAGAGAGCGCGTGAGAGTGCGCGTGAGAGAGCGAGTAAGAGTGTGCATGGGAGTGCGCGTGAGAGAGCACATGAGGGAGCGCGTAAGAGTGCGCGTGAGAGAGCGCGTGAGAGAGCGCGTGAGAGAGCGCGTGAGAGTGCATAGGAGTGCGCGTGAGAGTGCGCATGAGAGAGCGCGTGAGGGAGCGCGTGAGAGAGCGCGTGAGAGTGCGCGTGAGAGAGAATGCGCAAGAGAGTGCGAGTGAGAGAGCGCGTGAGAGAGCGAGTGAGAGTGCGCGTGTGAGAGCGAATGAGAGTGCGCGTGAGGGTGCGCGTGAGAGTGCGCGTGAGAGAGCGCGTGAGAGTGCGCGTGAGAGTGCGCGTGAGAGAGCGCGTGAGAGAGCGCGTGAGAGTGCGCGTGAGAGTGCGCGTGAGAGAGCGCGTGAGAGTGCGCGTGAGAGTGCGCGTGAGAGAGCGCGTGAGAGAGCGCGTGAGAGAGCGCGTGAGAGTGCGCGTGAGAGTGCGCGTGAGAGAGCGCGTGAGAGAGCGCGTGAGAGTGCGCGTGAGAGAGCGAGTAAGAGTGTGCATGGGAGTGCGCGTGAGAGAGCACATGAGGGAGCGCGTAAGAGTGCGCGTGAGAGAGCGCGTGAGAGAGCGCGTGAGAGTGTGCATAGGAGTGCGCGTGAGAGTGCGCATGAGAGAGCGCGTGAGGGAGCGCGTGAGAGAGCGCGTGAGAGTGCGCGTGAGAGAGAATGCGCAAGAGAGTGCGAGTGAGAGAGCGCGTGAGAGAGCGAGTGAGAGTGCGCGTGTGAGAGCGAGTGAGAGTGCGCGTGAGGGTGCGCGTGAGAGTGCGCGTGAGAGAGCGCGTGAGAGTGCGCGTGAGAGTGCGCGTGAGAGAGCGCGTGAGAGAGCGCGTGAGAGTGCGCGTGAGAGTGCGCGTGAGAGAGCGCGTGAGAGTGCGCGTGAGAGTGCGCGTGAGAGAGCGCGTGAGAGAGCGCGTGAGAGAGCGCGTGAGAGTGCGCGTGAGAGTGCGCGTGAGAGAGCGCGTGAGAGAGCGCGTGAGAGAGCGCGTGAGATTTCGCGTGAGAGAGCGCGTGAGAGAGCGCGTGAGAGTGTGCATAGGAGTGCGCGTGAGAGTGCGCGTGAGAGAGCGCGTGAGAGAGCGAGTAAGAGTGTGCATGGGAGTGCGCGTGAGAGAGCACATGAGGGAGCGCGTAAGAGTGCGCGTGAGAGAGCGCGTGAGAGAGCGCGTGAGAGTGTGCATAGGAGTGCGCGTGAGAGTGCGCATGAGAGAGCGCGTGAGGGAGCGCGTGAGAGAGCGCGTGAGAGTGCGCGTGAGAGAGAATGCGCAAGAGAGTGCGAGTGAGAGAGCGCGTGAGAGAGCGAGTGAGAGTGCGCGTGTGAGAGCGAATGAGAGTGCGCGTGAGGGTGCGCGTGAGAGTGCGCGTGAGAGAGCGCGTGAGAGAGCGCGTGAGAGTGCGCGTGAGAGAGCGCGTGAGAGAGCGCGTGAGAGTGCGCGTGAGAGTGCGCGTGAGAGAGCGCGTGAGAGTGCGCGTGAGAGTGCGCGTGAGAGAGCGCGTGAGAGAGCGCGTGAGAGAGCGCGTGAGAGTGCGCGTGAGAGTGCGCGTGAGAGTGCGCGTGAGAGTGCGCGTGAGAGTGCGCGTGAGAGAGCGAGTAAGAGTGTGCATGGGAGTGCGCGTGAGAGAGCACATGAGGGAGCGCGTAAGAGTGCGCGTGAGAGAGCGCGTGAGAGAGCGCGTGAGAGTGCATAGGAGTGCGCGTGAGAGTGCGCATGAGAGAGCGCGTGAGGGAGCGCGTGAGAGAGCGCGTGAGAGTGCGCGTGAGAGAGAATGCGCAAGAGAGTGCGAGTGAGAGAGCGCGTGAGAGAGCGAGTGAGAGTGCGCGTGTGAGAGCGAATGAGAGTGCGCGTGAGGGTGCGCGTGAGAGTGCGCGTGAGAGTGCGCGTGAGAGTGCGCGTGAGAGTGCGCGTGAGAGAGCGCGTGAGAGAGCGCGTGAGAGTGCGCGTGAGAGTGCGCGTGAGAGAGCGCGTGAGAGTGCGCGTGAGAGTGCGCGTGAGAGAGCGCGTGAGAGAGCGCGTGAGAGAGCGCGTGAGAGTGCGCGTGAGAGTGCGCGTGAGAGAGCGCGTGAGAGAGCGCGTGAGAGTGCGCGTGAGAGAGCGAGTAAGAGTGTGCATGGGAGTGCGCGTGAGAGAGCACATGAGGGAGCGCGTAAGAGTGCGCGTGAGAGAGCGCGTGAGAGAGCGCGTGAGAGTGTGCATAGGAGTGCGCGTGAGAGTGCGCATGAGAGAGCGCGTGAGGGAGCGCGTGAGAGAGCGCGTGAGAGTGCGCGTGAGAGAGAATGCGCAAGAGAGTGCGAGTGAGAGAGCGCGTGAGAGAGCGAGTGAGAGTGCGCGTGTGAGAGCGAGTGAGAGTGCGCGTGAGGGTGCGCGTGAGAGTGCGCGTGAGAGAGCGCGTGAGAGTGCGCGTGAGAGTGCGCGTGAGAGAGCGCGTGAGAGAGCGCGTGAGAGTGCGCGTGAGAGTGCGCGTGAGAGAGCGCGTGAGAGTGCGCGTGAGAGTGCGCGTGAGAGAGCGCGTGAGAGAGCGCGTGAGAGAGCGCGTGAGAGTGCGCGTGAGAGTGCGCGTGAGAGAGCGCGTGAGAGAGCGCGTGAGAGAGCGCGTGAGATTTCGCGTGAGAGAGCGCGTGAGAGAGCGCGTGAGAGTGTGCATAGGAGTGCGCGTGAGAGTGCGCGTGAGAGTGCGCGTGAGAGAGCGCGTGAGAGAGCGCGTGAGAGAGCGCGTGAGAGAGCGCGTGAGAGTGCGCGTGAGAGTGCGCGTGAGAGTGCGCGTGAGAGTGCGCGTGAGAGAGCGCGTGAGAGAGCAAGTGAGAGTGCGCGTGAGAGAGCGCGTGAGAGTGCGCGTGAGAGTGCGCGTGAGAGAGCAAGTGAGAGTGCGTGTGTGAGAGCGAGTGAGAGTGCACGTGGGAGTGCGCGTGAGGGTGCGAGTGAGAGAGCGCGTGCGAGTGCGTGTGTGAGAGCGAGTGAGAGTGCGCGTGAGAGTGCGCGTGAGAGTGCGCGTGAGAGTGCGCGTGAGAGTGCGCGTGAGAGTGCGCGTGAGAGTGCGCGTGAGAGAGCGCGTGAGAGAGCGCGTGAGAGTGCGCGTGAGAGTGCGCGTGAGAGAGCGCGTGAGAGTGCGCGTGAGAGTGCGCGTGAGAGAGCGCGTGAGAGAGCGCGTGAGAGAGCGCGTGAGAGTGCGCGTGAGAGTGCGCGTGAGAGAGCGCGTGAGAGAGCGCGTGAGAGAGCGCGTGAGATTTCGCGTGAGAGCGCGTGAGAGAGCGAGTGAGAGTGTGCATAGGAGTGCGCGTGAGAGTGCGCGTGAGAGAGTGCGTGAAAGAGCGCGTGAGAGAGCGCGTGAGAGTGCGCGTGAGAGTGCGCGTGAGAGTGCGCGTGAGAGTGCGCGTGAGAGAGCGCGTGAGAGAGCAAGTGAGAGTGCGCGTGTGAGAGCGAGTGAGAGTGCGAGTGAGAGTGCGCGTGAGAGAGCGCGTGAGAGTGCGCGTGAGAGTGCGCGTGAGAGAGCGCGTGAGAGTGCGTGTGTGAGAGCGAGTGAGAGTGCACGTGGGAGTGCGCGTGAGGGTGCGAGTGAGAGAGCGCGTGAGAGTGCGTGTGTGAGAGCGAGTGAGAGTGCGCGTGAGAGTGCGCGTGAGAGTGCGCGTGAGAGTGCGCGTGAGAGTGCGCGTGAGAGTGCGCGTGAGAGTGCGCGTGAGAGAGTGCGTGACAGAGCGCGTGAGGGTGCGCGTGAGAGTGCGCGTGAGAGAGCGCGTGAGAGTGCGCGTGAGAGTGCGCGTGAGAGTGCGCGTGAGAGTGCGCGTGAGAGTGCGCGTGAGAGTGCGCGTGAGAGTGCGCGTGTGAGAGCGAGTGAGAGTGCGCGTGAGAGTGCGTGTGAGAGAGCGCGTGAGAGAGCGCGTGAGAGTGCGCGTGAGAGAGCGCGTGAGAGAGCGCGTGAGAGAGCGCGTGAGAGAGCGCGTGAGAGAGCGCGTGAGGGTGTGCGTGAGAGAGCGCGTGAGAGAGCGCGTGAGAGAGCGCGTGTGAGAGGGAGTGAGAGTGCGCGTGAGAGTGCGTGTGAGAGAGCGCGTGAGAGTGCGCGTGAGAGTGCGCGTGAGAGTGCGCGTGAGAGTGCGCGTGAGAGTGCGCGTGAGAGAGCGCGTGAGAGAGCGCGTGAGAGTGCGCGTGAGAGTGCGCGTGAGAGAGCGCGTGAGAGAGCGCGTGAGAGTGCGCGTGAGAGTGCGCGTGAGAGAGTGCGTGAGAGTGCGCGTGAGAGTGCGTATGAGAGAGCGCGTGAGAGAGCGCGTGAGAGAGCGCGTGAGAGTGCGCGTGAGAGTGCGCGTGAGAGAGCGCGTGAGAGAGCGCGTGAGATTGCGCGTTAGATTGCGCATGAGAGAGCGCGTGAGAGAGCGAGTGAGAGTGTGCATAGGAGTGCGCGTGAGAGTGCGCATGAGAGCGCGTGTGAGAGCGCGTGAGAGAGCGCGTGAGAGAGCGCGTGAGAGTGCGCGTGAGAGTGCGCGTGAGAGAGCGCGTGAGAGAGCAAGTGAGAGTGCGCGTGTGAGAGCGAGTGAGAATGCGCGTGAGAGTGCGCGTGAGCGCGTGAGAGTGCGCGTGAGAGTGCGCGTGAGAGTGCGCGTGAGAGTGCGCGTGAGAGAGCGCGTGAGAGAGCGCGTGAGAGAGCGCGTGAGAGAGCAAGTGAGAGTGCGTGTGTGAGAGCGAGTGAGAGTGCACGTGGGAGTGCGCGTGAGGGTGCGAGTGAGAGAGCGCGTGAGAGTGCGTGTGTGAGAGCGAGTGAGAGTGCGCGAGAGAGTGCGCGTGAGAGTGCGCGTGAGAGTGCGCGTGAGAGTGCGCGTGAGAGTGCGCGTGAGAGTGCGCGTGAGAGAGTGTGTGAGAGAGCGCGTGAGGGTGCGCGTGAGAGTGCGCGTGAGAGAGCGCGTGAGAGAGCGCGTGAGTGTGCGTGTGAGAGAGCGCGTGAGAGAGCGCGTGAGAGTGCGCGTGAGAGTGCGCGTGTGAGAGCGAGTGAGAGTGCGCGTGAGAGTGCGTGAGAGAGCGCGTGAGAGAGCGCGTGAGAGTGCGCGTGAGAGAGTGCGTGAGAGTGCGCGTGAGAGTGCGCGTGAGAGAGCGCGTGAGAGAGCGCGTGAGAGTGCGCGTAAGATTGCGCGTGAGAGTGCGTGTGAGAGAGCGCGTGAGAGAGCGCGTGAGAGAGCGCGTGAGATTGCGCATGAGAGAGCGCGTGAGAGAGCGAGTGAGAGTGTGCAAAGGAGTGCGCGTGAGAGTGCGCATGAGAGAGCGCGTGAGAGTGGGGATGGGATCGATATGGGGCATGCTAGGCGGCTAGGCGGATGGGATCGATATGGGGCAAGCTAGGCGGCTAGGCGGATGGGATCGATATGGGGCAAGCTAGGCGGCGAAGAATCTTCGCGAGAGACGCAGGGCCACGAATCGGGAGGAGCGGAAAGGAAGCAGTGACGCGGTCTGCGGGGAAAGGAGCTGCTGCGGGGGCGGGCCGACGACGTGAGAGGCAGGGGGAGGGAGACGAAAGGGTGGGCGGGAGGGGCGACGGAGAGTGGTTGGTACGGAGAGTGCACGGCGAGGGAAGCGCATAGCAGGCACTGTCGGGTTGGAGCGACATGGGCGCAGATCGGAGAGAAGGGATGAGGCGTTCGTGGGGTGAGAAGTGCGCAGTGCGGGCGAGCGCCAGTTGGGAGCAAGGCGAGGGGCGAAGGAGATGGTCACGAGGGTTGCGGGGGGCAAGGCAGGCCTAGCGGTGTGGACTCGCACCTGCTGCGACTGCGGAACGTGGAGCGCCGATGATGCGACGCACACGACTGACGCGACCAGCGCAGAGACGATCCTTGCGACATCGATCGCACAGGAGCCCGGATTAGTTGAACCACGGAAATTCGCGGAGTATACTGGCCTGAGCGTATCAGTAAGAGCGTGTTCAGTTCAGGCACTCTAGACTTAAGGACATGTTAAGAAAACAAAAATTCCCAGGTGTGAGTTTCCGAGGTGTGTGCTGACAGCAGAGCGGTGTTCTTGGTGTCATTAACTGACATCTACAGCAGCAGTCGCGATGCGGAACTCAGCAGCAGCTGCAGAGTGGCGACGGCGGAGGGAGAGGCGACGGCGGAGGGAGAGGCGACGGCGGAGGGAGAGGCGATGGCGGAATGTGAGGGAGAGGCGACGGCGGAATGGGAGGGAGAGGCAACGGCGGGGTAGGAGGGAGAGGCGACGGCGGGGTGGGAGGGAGCGGCGACGGCGGGTAGGAAGGAGAGGCGACGGCGGGTGAGAGGCGACGGCGGGTGGGAGGGAGAGAGGACGGCGCGGTGGGAAAGAAAAGATGGTGGGGTGGAGGTAGATGCTATGACGAGGTGGGTGGGTGGGAGGGAGAGGCAACAGGTGGGTGGAATTGTCACGTGGAAACACACGCACAATCACGTGACACTGACTGGGCTTGAAACAACTCACCAGAAATAGTGCAATGGTACAATACAAAGTATCATCTTTGTTCACTACATATAAAAAACGATCAATGTGACTCAATGTTTAAAAATCATAAACATCCACGTTGAAACGAATACATTGCACCATCAAGAAGCACTTCCCACGTTCCTTAATACAGTAGACTTAAATTTGGCGCTAAATAAAGAAAAAAATTGCACTTCCTCTTTTTTTTTTTGTCAGTTAGGAATGTAACATCTACAATTAGGAATGTAACATCTACGCAACCCGTCCGACGTTAACGTCAAGTCTTGTTGTTTTCTTAACATGTCCTTAAGTCTAGAGTGCCTGAACTGAACACGCTCTTACTGATACGCTCAGGCCAGTATACTCCGCGAATTTCCGTGGTTCAACTAATCCGGGCTCCTGTGCGATCGATGTCGCAAGGATCGTCTCTGCGCTGGTCGCGTCAGTCGTGTGCGTCGCATCATCGGCGCTCCACGTTCCGCAGTCGCAGCAGGTGCGAGTCCACACCGCTAGGCCTGCCTTGCCCCCCGCAACCCTCGTGACCATCTCCTTCGCCCCTCGCCTTGCTCCCAACTGGCGCTCGCCCGCACTGCGCACTTCTCACCCCACGAACGCCTCATCCCTTCTCTCCGATCTGCGCCCATGTCGCTCCAACCCGACAGTGCCTGCTATGCGCTTCCCTCGCCGTGCACTCTCCGTACCACACCACTCCCCGTCGCCCCTCCCGCCCACCCTTTCGTCTCCCTCCCCCTGCCTCTCACGTCGTCGGCCCGCCCCCGCAGCAGCTCCTTTCCCCGCAGTCCGCGTCGCTGCTTCCTTTCCGCTCCTCCCGATTCGTGGCCCTGCGTCTCTCGCGAAGATTCTTCGCCGCCTAGCTTGCCCCATATCGATCCCATCCGCCTAGCCGCCTAGCTTGCCCCATATCGATCCCATCCGCTTAGCCGCCTAGCTTCCTTCCCCATATCGATCCCTTAATCCCCTCATTTCCTTCCCCCGTTCGTTTCTCTCCCGCTCTGGTCCTCTTCGTTCCTCCCTCTCTTTCTTCCGAAACCCACTCCCCCCCTTAAACCCCCTGCCCTCTCTCCCCTCCCTCTCCCACCCCGTTTTGCCCCTTTACCGCCTTTTCTCTTCTTCGCTCTGATGTACTGTGCTCAACCTATCTCCGTCCCTTCCTTTGAGCCGTGCCCCCAGCCATGCGAGCTCTTCCCTCTCTTCCTTTCTCGTCCCCCTGCCCCCTCTTGTCCCATCTTGTCCGCTCTCCTCCCCTCTCCTCCCATCTCCTCTTGTCCCGTGGATACATGTTATTGTTTATGCTCTCATTTCACCAAGACTCATCGCGTGTCATTCTGTCTCGCTGCAGGTCGTCCGGGGATCCACGTGCTGCTCCTGCAGTAGAGCACGATTCGCACTAGTGCGATTGCTCCCGTTCGCCGCTCGCCGTTCCATTTCAGCTTCCTCTTGCTGCTGTCTGATAGGCGTTCCTACACTGTCAGGCAGGAGCAGGAGCACACCCGGGGCAGAGGAACCACATGTAGGGCAGGCTGAGGGACGGACAGCCAGAACGAAAACCATCAGGCAGTGGGTCAATAGTGAAGCAGGAAGGGAGGAAGAGGGTTATTTCGTCTCGTACCGGCAATGGAGCGCCCACCACCAGATGAGGCCACTGCAGGAGGTTCGTCCACGTCAGACTCGTCCACATCATCACTGCTGGATCGTGCCACGTCAGCAGTTGTGGCGATGCGTCAGCACTGCGAGGACTATCCATATGTGTGGGCATCCTATGGCGTTACCTTTGGTATGGTTGTCTTTCCTCGCGCCAGTCGCGTGATGCTGCTGTGTTGCTGGCATCCTGCCATCCATCACCCATCCATTCCCCTTTTAGTTTTACACTGTTTGATTTTTCGTTGCCACTACTGATTTTGTTTGGCACAACCTTCACTCAGATCACTTTCTCGTATCGCAGCCTCCCCCCACCTTCCCCTCTTCTCCCACTTCCCCTCTCACTATCCCATGACTCCTGCAGCCTTGATGGGGTTTTATTCTGCCAGAGCATGGCAAAGACTGCGGCGGGCTGAGGATGATGTTTTGCGGCTGCAAAAGCAGCTAGGGATAAAAGCAGAGGATTTCACCCCTCGCTTCCTCCAGAAAGCATCCCCTTTATCCCAATCAACTGCTCCATCCAGACCGCCTTTGCCCCCAAAAAATCCCAGTGTACCGCCATAGGAACCAGGTAGTGGAATCTTCATTTTCGAGCATTGTAGGAAACACAACACTTTCATGTTGTATTATACAAGAAGAGTGCAGTTGGGTGACAACTGTTTTTAAACGATGTACACAGATCAAAACATGTACTTGACATTCCAATTTCCGATTTTCCATTACCGAGCTCCGCCCTCTTGGAATCCTCGATAGCGTGTTCCCAATCTTCCGCCTCCCAGCCACCCAGTGCATCCTCGCTATTCCCAAAACCTTCGCGCGTTTCGAATTAGTTTGGAGGAACACAGGAAAAGTTTCCGGAAGTAGATGAGGCAAGCTAAGTACTGATGCGAGGAGAGACGTTACGACGACATATAGACTGCAACGAAACAGGCTGCGACGAGATAGACTTCGACGAAACAACCTGCGACGAAACAGCGACGAGACAGGCTCGGACGAGGCGAGCCGCGACGAAACAGGCCGCAACGAAACAGTCTGCGGCGAAACGTGCTGCGACGAGACAGTCTGCGACAAACATGGAAAATGAAGAGGGAAGCTCAACAGCTTGGATGGAGAGGGAGAGCGAGGACGAGGTCCGACATAGCGCGCTGGATCTTATAAAGCGGATGGAGGAGGACGGTTCGTGGAAACTACCGTCTGAGCGAAGAATACAGGTTGGTTAGGTCGAATCGGTGGTCGTCTTCGCTTGATGAAATCCCTTGATGAGGGTAATTACCCCCATGAGACGATCTGGAGTCTCACCTTCTTCGCCCACATCCCGATGTTTCCCCTCCACTAGGACAAAGCGGCAAGTCTCCTCGTCTGCATGCATCAGGTGTCCCATGTGCGGCAGCAGCACTCGTGGGATGGCGGCGTAGCGTGGTGCTCCCCTCCCACCCCGCATGTCTCCCTTCCCTGCCTGCATGATTGCCCCACACTTCATCATTCTTCTCACCCCACGTCTTTCCCTCTCCTCCGCCATGCATCAGGTGCCTCACGTGTGGCAGCAGCAATCGTGTAATTGTGGCGTGGCGTGCCTAATGCTCCCCGCATGTCTCCCTCCCTCCCTGCCTGCCTGCCTGCCTGCCTGCCTGCCTGCCTGCCTGCCTGCATGACTGCCCCACACTTGATGACTCTCCCTCACCGCACGTCTTTCCCTCCCTCCCTTCCTTTCTGCCTGCCTGCATACCATGCATCAGGTGCCCCACGTGCGACAGCAGCACTCGTGGGACTGTGGCGTGGCGTGCGTGCTCATGGTGCTCAAGGCGCTCCGCATCCCCATCCACCCCGTTCACACCGAGCCCATGCAAAGCATCCTGGCCGTCCATTCGCCACAGCCAATCGGAGCATCGCCTGCCATGCCTGCTGCTACATCCGCAACTAGATTCTCAAGGTCAAGCGTGGTTCCAGCTGCACATGCAGCTACAGCTGTGATCCATGCTCCTGCTACAGCCGCATCCCCTGCTCTTATAGACAGAGCTATAGATACAGTCGCTGACCCAGCTGCAGCTGCTGCTACAGCCTTTTCCACGCCCCCACCTAGCAGCGCGGTCATGGGCGCAACAACCTCTAGATTTCCAGCAGTTAACGCCCACCCTGCCACGTCCCCTTTAGCAGGAGACTCGTTTGCGTTAGAAGCACCACATGAGGAGCTTTCCTTGCACGGATCAGCCCAGGCGCGTCAGGGGGGCAAAACGGGGGCACAGGGCGAAGCGGTGCACAAGAGTGCTGCTGTGGAGGAGCTCACCTGCCCGTCTGACACAGGGCTTGCACGCGTTGTTGCTGAGGGTGCTCTTGCCTCGTGGGATTCCATAGGGCAAGCGGAGGGTGCTGATGCCACGTGGCACTCCCTGGAGGCAGCGGGGGGTGCTGCTGGTTGTGGGGATGTGGGAGAGGGTGCTAATGGGTGCATGCGCAGAGCAGAGGGTGCAGGGGTTGGCACAGAGGGGCTGGTGAGAAGAGGGTCAGCGAGGGGTCGTGGCTGTGCGGTGCGAGGTGGTGAAGAGGGGTGTGATGTGGTGCATGCCACGACACGAGAAGTGCGCGCAGTGGCATGTGCAAGTGCGGGTATAGGGAGGGGGAGAGCAGCGGGGAGCAGAGAGACATGCGAACTGCAGCAGCTGCACCGCCAGTGCGGCACCACCAGGTGAGCTGCGGTACCACCAGGTGAGTTGCGGTATCACCAGGTGAGCTGCGGTACCACCAGGTGGGCTTGACTCGATGTTGCTTTCTTCTGGTGAATACTCACGTGGATGCTGGGTGGCATTGGCTGGCACGGCATCACACACGAAATGGCATGGCATGGCATGGCATGAAGCGTGTGGTGCAGTGCACAGCATGTGTGTCATGGCATGGTCTATGGTGCAAGTATGAGGCACAGGGCGGAATAGGCATTGACAGGATGACACGGCAATAAGCATATGTTCCGTTTGCTTACTTATCTCCAATCTCCCCCTCCCCTCCCTTGTAGCCCCCCCTTCCCCCCGTCCCCCTTCCACTTCTCCCTCCCCCCTCCCCATCGTTCTATGGGTCTCTCGTTTTTCGCTTTCCTCCGCTCCACATAGCTTCCCCCTTCCACTCAATATGTGCTGCCCACCATCCCCCTCTTGCCTCTCTCCTCTCTCCATTTTTTTTTAGGTTGATTTTGAGAATTCTCAAATTCTCCCCATCCCCTCCCCACCTGCCCTTCCCACTCCCCCCTCCGCCCTCCCCCCTCCACCCCTCACCCCTCGCCCTGCGCCCTCGGTTCACGGCGCATGGCGGCAGTGTGTGGAGCATAGACCTGGTGGCGCTGCTGCAGCGGCACGGAGTGGGGGTGGAGTTCCTCACTGTCACCATCAGCGCCAACCCCTCCTTCGCCCAGCAGCCCTTCTACAAGGTGAGGTGCGCCCTTCTACAAGGTGAGGTGCGCCCTTCTACAAGGTGAGGTGCGCCCTTCTACAAGGTGAGGTGCGCCCTTCTCCAAGGTGAGGTGCGCCCTTCTACAAGGTGAGGTGCGCCCTTCTACAAGGTGAGGTGCGCCCTTCTCCAAGGTGAGGTGCGCCCTTCTACAAGGTGAGGTGCGCCCTTCTACAAGGTGAGGTGCGCCCTTCTACAAGGTGAGGTGCGCCCTTCTCCAAGGTGAGGTGCGCCCTTCTACAAGATGAGGTGCGCCCTTCTCCAAGGTGAGGTGCGCCCTTCTCCAAGGTGAGGTGCGCCCTTCTACAAGGTGAGGTGCGCCCTTCTACAAGGTGAGGTGCGCCCTTCTACAAGGTGAGGTGCGCCCTTCTACAAGGTGAGGTGCGCCCTTCTACAAGGTGAGGTGCGCCCTTCTACAAGGTGAGGTGCGCCCTTCTCCAAGGTGAGGTGCGCCCTTCTACAAGGTGAGGTGCGCCCTTCTACAAGGTGAGGTGCGCCCTTCTCCAAGGTGAGGTGCGCCCTTCTACAAGGTGAGGTGCGCCCTTCTACAAGGTGAGGTGCGCCCTTCTCCAAGGTGAGGTGCGCCCTTCTACAAGGTGAGGTGCGCCCTTCTACAAGGTGAGGTGCGCCCTTCTACAAGGTGAGGTGCGCCCTTCTACAAGGTGAGGTGCGCCCTTCTACAAGGTGAGGTGCGCCCTTCTACAAGGTGAGGTGCGCCCTTCTACAAGGTGAGGTGCGCCCTTCTACAAGGTGAGGTGCGCCCTTCTACAAGGTGAGGTGCGCCCTTCTACAAGGTGAGGTGCGCCCTTCTACAAGGTGAGGTGCGCCCTTCTACAAGGTGAGGTGCGCCCTTCTACAAGGTGAGGTGCGCCCTTCTACAAGGTGAGGTGCGCCCTTCTACAAGGTGAGGTGCGCCCTTCTACAAGGTGAGGTGCGCCCTTCTACAAGGTGAGGTGCGCCCTTCTACAAGGTGAGGTGCGCCCTTCTACAAGGTGCGAACCACTCTGCCCTCCACTGTATATGGTGTGCCCTACCCAGCCCTCCACTCCTCAAGCTATAGACACAAGCATCAATACAAGGGTTTCACTGTTTCTGGCATACTCACTGTTGTCGCTCTCTCTCACTCCTCCCCCCTCACCCCCACAGGAGAGCATGGCACATGTTGCGGTCAGGGCCACTCGTCTGTGTGTGTGGTGCGGACACCCATTAGGCAAACCCCCATTTCTAGGTTTCCTCTGTTTCCACTGACCTCTTTGTCCCACCCTTCAACCCCCTGCAGGAGAACATGCCAGGGGACGTGGACAGGGTCAATCGTCTCTTTGCCGACACCATACGAGCCGGCGTGCACATTCAGGTGCAAGGGGGGTCGTTTTCTGCCTGTGCTGCTGAGCTGAGGGTGCTCCTTGGTTCTCACTGGGTCACGCAGGGTGGTAGTAAACTCCAGTGTGCGTGCCTCTGGCAGATGGCTCTTCCATGCCTGCAGAGTTAACTGGTTTTGACCAGGCTAGGCTCTTTCGCTCCATCTGTCCCACTTCCTTTCTCACCTCCTCCCTCCTTCCTCCCTCCCCCCTCCCTCCTCCCTTCCTCCCCCCTCCCTCCTCCTTCCTCCCTCCTCCCATCATGCCCTCCCACCCTCTGCGCTGCCAAGCCTCCCTCTTTTCTCGTGCATTTGCAAGCCATGTTATGAAATTTTGCTGTCATCCCTTGTTTCCATTTAAAAATTTGAGAGTAATTAAAAAATACACTTGCTGCTCTTTGCCTGATTCTCCCCTGCCTGTTTCTCTCGCCCGCGTAAAGGATGTCTATTTGTTCCATTCCCGTCTTTCTCTCCACTCCATCGTGTCTCATCTCACCCCACCGAACCTACCTCACACCACACCGCACCGCACCGCACCACCCTCAGTGTGCGTCCATAGGCATTCAGCACGTGGCGTGGCTGCTCCTCTCGGGTCGCTACCTCATCATTGCCCTCGTGGATAAGCGCACCATCACGTGAGTCATAAGCATTTCAGTTCAGTGTCAGCAATGCCTCTTCAGTGTCAGAAATGCCTCTTCTGCATGCTTTTTGGCTGTGCACTGCGTTTTTTCTGCTGCTGTCCCTCAGAGGCATGCACACCACATGCCGCTCTCCCATGTGTGCCATCCGTGAGTGACCACGGTGCAATGCACGTCCCTCCTTCACCCCCTTGCCCGCATGCAGCCATCCACTGGCATCAGTGCCATGCCCTCCTGACTGCTGTGGTCCCACTCCGGGCTACATTGGTGAGTGCTGCTGGTTGTTGCTGGGTGCTGCTGGGTGGTAGTGGTGGGTGGTACCGTGCTGGTGGGAGCAGGTTGCATTGGTGGGAGCTGCCTGCATGAGTGCATTGATCAAGCCATGTGGTGCTGCCTGCATGAGTGCATTGATCAAGCCATGTGGTGCTGCCTGCATGAGTGCATTGATCAAGCCATGTGGTGCTGCCTGCATGAGTGCATTGATCAAGCCATGTGGTGCTGCATGCATGAGTGCATTGATCAAGCGATGTGGTGCTGCCTGCATGAGTGCATTGATCAAGCCATGTGGTGCTGCCTGCATGAGTGCATTGATCAAGCCATGTGGTGCTGCCTGCATGAGTGCATTGATCAAGCCATGTGGTGCTGCCTGCATGAGTGCATTGATCAAGCCATGTGGTGCTGCCTGCATGAGTGCATTGATCAAGCCATGTGGTGCTGCCTGCATGAGTGCATTGATCAAGCCATGTGGTGCTGCCTGCATGAGTGCATTGATCAAGCCATGTGGTGCTGCATGTATGAGTGCATTGATCAAGCGATGTGGTGCTGCCTGCATGAGTGCATTGATCAAGCCATGTGGTGCTGCCTGCATGAGTGCATTGATCAAGCCATGTGGTGCTGCCTGCATGAGTGCATTGATCAAGCCATGTGGTGCTGCCTGCATGAGTGCATTGATCAAGCCATGTGGTGCTGCCTGCATGAGTGCATTGATCAAGCCATGTGGTGCTGCCTGCATGAGTGCATTGATCAAGCCATGTGGTGCTGCCTGCATGAGTGCATTGATCAAGCCATGTGGTGCTGCCTGCATGAGTGCATTGATCAAGCCATGTGGTGCTGCCTGCATGAGTGCATTGATCAAGCCATGTGGTGCTGCCTGCATGAGTGCATTGATCAAGCCATGTGGTGCTGCCTGCATGAGTGCATTGATCAAGCCATGTGGTGCTGCCTGCATGAGTGCATTGATCAAGCCATGTGGTGCTGCCTGCATGAGTGCATTGATCAAGCCATGTGGTGCTGCCTGCATGAGTGCATTGATCAAGCCATGTGGTGCTGCCTGCATGAGTGCATTGATCAAGCCATGTGGTGCTGCCTGCATGAGTGCATTGATCAAGCCATGTGGTGCTGCCTGCATGAGTGCATTGATCAAGCCATGTGGTGCTGCCTGCATGAGTGCATTGATCAAGCCATGTGGTGCTGCCTGCATGAGTGCATTGATCAAGCCATGTGGTGCTGCCTGCATGAGTGCATTGATCAAGCCATGTGGTGCTGCCTGCATGAGTGCATTGATCAAGCCATGTGGTGCTGCCTGCATGAGTGCATTGATCAAGCCATGTGGTGCTGCCTGCATGAGTGCATTGATCAAGCCATGTGGTGCTGCCTGCATGAGTGCATTGATCAAGCCATGTGGTGCTGCCTGCATGAGTGCATTGATCAAGCCATGTGGTGCTGCCTGCATGAGTGCATTGATCAAGCCATGTGGTGCTGCCTGCATGAGTGCATTGATCAAGCCATGTGGTGCTGCATGTATGAGTGCATTGATCAAGCGATGTGGTGCTGCCTGCATGAGTGCATTGATCAAGCCATGTGGTGCTGCCTGCATGAGTGCATTGATCAAGCCATGTGGTGCTGCCTGCATGAGTGCATTGATCAAGCCATGTGGTGCTGCCTGCATGAGTGCATTGATCAAGCCATGTGGTGCTGCCTGCATGAGTGCATTGATCAAGCCATGTGGTGCTGCCTGCATGAGTGCATTGATCAAGCCATGTGGTGCTGCCTGCATGAGTGCATTGATCAAGCCATGTGGTGCTGCCTGCATGAGTGCATTGATCAAGCCATGTGGTGCTGCCTGCATGAGTGCATTGATCAAGCCATGTGGTGCTGCCTGCATGAGTGCATTGATCAAGCCATGTGGTGGTGCCTGCATGAGTGCATTGATCAAGCCATGTGGTGCTGCCTGCATGAGTGCATTGATCAAGCCATGTGGTGCTGCCTGCATGAGTGCATTGATCAAGCCATGTGGTGCTGCCTGCATGAGTGCATTGATCAAGCCATGTGGTGCTGCCTGCATGAGAGCATTGATCAAGCCATGTGGTGCTGCCTGCATGAGTGCATTGATCAAGCCATGTGGTGCTGCCTGCATGAGTGCATTGATCAAGCCATGTGGTGCTGCCTGCATGAGTGCATTGATCAAGCCATGTGGTGCTGCCTGCATGAGTGCATTGATCAAGCCATGTGGTGCTGCCTGCATGAGTGCATTGATCAAGCCATGTGGTGCTGCCTGCATGAGTGCATTGATCAAGCCATGTGGTGCTGCCTGCATGAGTGCATTGATCAAGCCATGTGGTGCTGCCTGCATGAGTGCATTGATCAAGCCATGTGGTGCTGCCTGCATGAGTGCATTGATCAAGCCATGTGGTGCTGCCTGCATGAGTGCATTGATCAAGCCATGTGGTGCTGCCTGCATGAGTGCATTGATCAAGCCATGTGGTGCTGCGTGCATGAGTGCATTGATCAAGCCATGTGGTGCTGCCTGCATGAGTGCATTGATCAAGCCATGTGGTGCTGCCTGCATGAGTGCATTGATCAAGCCATGTGGTGCTGCCTGCATGAGTGCATTGATCAAGCCATGTGGTGCTGCCTGCATGAGTGCATTGATCAAGCCATGTGGTGCTGCCTGCATGAGTGCATTGATCAAGCCATGTGGTGCTGCCTGCATGAGTGCATTGATCAAGCCATGTGGTGCTGCCTGCATGAGTGCATTGATCAAGCCATGTGGTGCTGCCTGCATGAGTGCATTGATCAAGCCATGTGGTGCTGCCTGCATGAGTGCATTGATCAAGCCATGTGGTGCTGCCTGCATGAGTGCATTGATCAAGCCATGTGGTGCTGCCTGCATGAGTGCATTGATCAAGCCATGTGGTGCTGCGTGCATGAGTGCATTGATCAAGCCATGTGGTGCTGCCTGCATGAGTGCATTGATCAAGCCATGTGGTGCTGCCTGCATGAGTGCATTGATCAAGCCATGTGGTGCTGCCTGCATGAGTGCATTGATCAAGCCATGTGGTGCTGCCTGCATGAGTGCATTGATCAAGCCATGTGGTGCTGCCTGCATGAGTGCATTGATCAAGCCATGTGGTGCTGCCTGCATGAGTGCATTGATCAAGCCATGTGGTGCTGCCTGCATGAGTGCATTGATCAAGCCATGTGGTGCTGCCTGCATGAGTGCATTGATCAAGCCATGTGGTGCTGCCTGCATGAGTGCATTGATCAAGCCATGTGGTGCTGCCTGCATGAGTGCATTGATCAAGCCATGTGGTGCTGCCTGCATGAGTGCATTGATCAAGCCATGTGGTGCTGCCTGCATGAGTGCATTGATCAAGCCATGTGGTGCTGCCTGCATGAGTGCATTGATCAAGCCATGTGGTGCTGCCTGCATGAGTGCATTGATCAAGCCATGTGGTGCTGCCTGCATGAGTGCATTGATCAAGCCATGTGGTGCTGCCTGCATGAGTGCATTGATCAAGCCATGTGGTGCTGCCTGCATGAGTGCATTGATCAAGCCATGTGGTGCTGCCTGCATGAGTGCATTGATCAAGCCATGTGGTGCTGCCTGCATGAGTGCATTGATCAAGCCATGTGGTGCTGCCTGCATGAGTGCATTGATCAAGCCATGTGGTGCTGCATGTATGAGTGCATTGATCAAGCGATGTGGTGCTGCCTGCATGAGTGCATTGATCAAGCCATGTGGTGCTGCCTGCATGAGTGCATTGATCAAGCCATGTGGTGCTGCCTGCATGAGTGCATTGATCAAGCCATGTGGTGCTGCCTGCATGAGTGCATTGATCAAGCCATGTGGTGCTGCCTGCATGAGTGCATTGATCAAGCCATGTGGTGCTGCCTGCATGAGTGCATTGATCAAGCCATGTGGTGCTGCCTGCATGAGTGCATTGATCAAGCCATGTGGTGCTGCCTGCATGAGTGCATTGATCAAGCCATGTGGTGCTGCCTGCATGAGTGCATTGATCAAGCCATGTGGTGCTGCCTGCATGAGTGCATTGATCAAGCCATGTGGTGCTGCCTGCATGAGTGCATTGATCAAGCCATGTGGTGCTGCCTGCATGAGTGCATTGATCAAGCCATGTGGTGCTGCCTGCATGAGTGCATTGATCAAGCCATGTGGTGCTGCCTGCATGAGTGCATTGATCAAGCCATGTGGTGCTGCCTGCATGAGAGCATTGATCAAGCCATGTGGTGCTGCCTGCATGAGTGCATTGATCAAGCCATGTGGTGCTGCCTGCATGAGTGCATTGATCAAGCCATGTGGTGCTGCCTGCATGAGTGCATTGATCAAGCCATGTGGTGCTGCCTGCATGAGTGCATTGATCAAGCCATGTGGTGCTGCCTGCATGAGTGCATTGATCAAGCCATGTGGTGCTGCCTGCATGAGTGCATTGATCAAGCCATGTGGTGCTGCCTGCATGAGTGCATTGATCAAGCCATGTGGTGCTGCCTGCATGAGTGCATTGATCAAGCCATGTGGTGCTGCCTGCATGAGTGCATTGATCAAGCCATGTGGTGCTGCCTGCATGAGTGCATTGATCAAGCCATGTGGTGCTGCCTGCATGAGTGCATTGATCAAGCCATGTGGTGCTGCGTGCATGAGTGCATTGATCAAGCCATGTGGTGCTGCCTGCATGAGTGCATTGATCAAGCCATGTGGTGCTGCCTGCATGAGTGCATTGATCAAGCCATGTGGTGCTGCCTGCATGAGTGCATTGATCAAGCCATGTGGTGCTGCCTGCATGAGTGCATTGATCAAGCCATGTGGTGCTGCCTGCATGAGTGCATTGATCAAGCCATGTGGTGCTGCCTGCATGAGTGCATTGATCAAGCCATGTGGTGCTGCATGTATGAGTGCATTGATCAAGCGATGTGGTGCTGCCTGCATGAGTGCATTGATCAAGCCATGTGGTGCTGCCTGCATGAGTGCATTGATCAAGCCATGTGGTGCTGCCTGCATGAGTGCATTGATCAAGCCATGTGGTGCTGCCTGCATGAGTGCATTGATCAAGCCATGTGGTGCTGCCTGCATGAGTGCATTGATCAAGCCATGTGGTGCTGCCTGCATGAGTGCATTGATCAAGCCATGTGGTGCTGCCTGCATGAGTGCATTGATCAAGCCATGTGGTGCTGCCTGCATGAGTGCATTGATCAAGCCATGTGGTGCTGCCTGCATGAGTGCATTGATCAAGCCATGTGGTGCTGCCTGCATGAGTGCATTGATCAAGCCATGTGGTGGTGCCTGCATGAGTGCATTGATCAAGCCATGTGGTGCTGCCTGCATGAGTGCATTGATCAAGCCATGTGGTGCTGCCTGCATGAGTGCATTGATCAAGCCATGTGGTGCTGCCTGCATGAGTGCATTGATCAAGCCATGTGGTGCTGCCTGCATGAGAGCATTGATCAAGCCATGTGGTGCTGCCTGCATGAGTGCATTGATCAAGCCATGTGGTGCTGCCTGCATGAGTGCATTGATCAAGCCATGTGGTGCTGCCTGCATGAGTGCATTGATCAAGCCATGTGGTGCTGCCTGCATGAGTGCATTGATCAAGCCATGTGGTGCTGCCTGCATGAGTGCATTGATCAAGCCATGTGGTGCTGCCTGCATGAGTGCATTGATCAAGCCATGTGGTGCTGCCTGCATGAGTGCATTGATCAAGCCATGTGGTGCTGCCTGCATGAGTGCATTGATCAAGCCATGTGGTGCTGCCTGCATGAGTGCATTGATCAAGCCATGTGGTGCTGCCTGCATGAGTGCATTGATCAAGCCATGTGGTGCTGCCTGCATGAGTGCATTGATCAAGCCATGTGGTGCTGCCTGCATGAGTGCATTGATCAAGCCATGTGGTGCTGCCTGCATGAGTGCATTGATCAAGCCATGTGGTGCTGCCTGCATGAGTGCATTGATCAAGCCATGTGGTGCTGCCTGCATGAGTGCATTGATCAAGCCATGTGGTGCTGCCTGCATGAGTGCATTGATCAAGCCATGTGGTGCTGCCTGCATGAGTGCATTGATCAAGCCATGTGGTGCTGCCTGCATGAGTGCATTGATCAAGCCATGTGGTGCTGCCTGCATGAGTGCATTGATCAAGCCATGTGGTGCTGCCTGCATGAGTGCATTGATCAAGCCATGTGGTGCTGCCTGCATGAGTGCATTGATCAAGCCATGTGGTGCTGCCTGCATGAGTGCATTGATCAAGCCATGTGGTGCTGCCTGCATGAGTGCATTGATCAAGCCATGTGGTGCTGCCTGCATGAGTGCATTGATCAAGCCATGTGGTGCTGCCTGCATGAGTGCATTGATCAAGCCATGTGGTGCTGCCTGCATGAGTGCATTGATCAAGCCATGTGGTGCTGCATGCGCGTTGCGCATCTCCCTATCCCTTCTCTTCCCTCATGCCATGCCCCCATCTTCTACTCCTCTCTCCATTCAAATCCTCTGCCCTGCTCCCGTATCCCTGCTGTTATTACCCTCGCCTTCATGCATTCCTCCTAACCTTGCCTCATATAACCCCTGACCTCGCATGTGCTTTGTCCCATCCCGATGCCTTTCATGCCCTTTGTCTCCCCTCCATGCCCTTTGTCTCCTCTCCATGCCCATTGTCTCCCCTCCATGCCCTTTGTCTCCCCTCCATGCCCTTTGTCTCCCCTCCATGCCCTTTGTCTCCCCTCCATGCCCATTGTCTCCCCTCCATGCCCTTTGTCTCCCCTCCATGCCCTTTGTCTCCCCTCCATGCCCTTTGTCTCCCCTCCATGCCCATTGTCTCCCCTCCATGCCCTTTGTCTCCCCTCCATGCCCTTTGTCTCCCCTCCATGCCCATTGTCTCCCCTCCATGCCCTTTGTCTCCCCTCCATGCCCTTTGTCTCCCCTCCATGCCCTTTGTCTCCCCTCCATGCCCTTTGTCTCCCCTCCATGCCCTTTGTCTCCCCTCCATGCCCTTTGTCTCCCCTCCATGCCGTCTTTATAACGTTCGACCATCCTGCCCGTCTCTTAATTCTCCGCACCATGCTTACACTGGCAGGTCACTTTGTGGTGCTGTGTGGGTTCGACAACCACTCGAGGATGTTTGAAATCTGCGACCCCTCCTCGCATGGGTATGTGCTCCCATTTATTCCATGTCTTCCTACTCCTCCTCCTTTCTCCTCTTCTTTCTACGCTCACCCTATCTTTTTTCTTCCCCCTTTTCTACTTCCCTCTCAATCCATCTTCCCTCTCTTTCCCTCTCTTTTCTCCATCCTCTTTTCTCCATCCACCTCTTTTCTCCTAACGCCACTTCCCTTCGCCCTCCTGCCCTTCCGCAATCTTTTTTTTTTTGTTCATCTCTCCCCCAGCGGAACATCATGGGTGCCCATGGCAGCAGTGGACGATGCACGCATGACGTTCGGCACTGACCAGGATCTCATTCTGGTGAGCAAGATTTGATTCTGGTGAGCAGGATCTCATTCTGGTGAGCGAAATCTGATTCTAGTGAGTGGTGAGAAGTATCTGATTCTTGTGGTGGGTGGTTGTGCATGAAGGGGATACATGGGGACATAGATTTGGGTGGTTCGTAGGGAAGAGATGGGGGAGAAGATGAGCATTTTCTTGGTTGGGGGGTTGGACTGCATGTGGCATGGTGCTGCCATGGTTTAACATAGGCCATTGTGGTGATCGAGGATATCGCTATGTAGTCATTCCATCCATCATAATGTTCTGTTTCCGTATTGATTGTGTTTTGGCAGATTCGACTTCCAGATTTGCCATAGCATGTCCAGATGAGCAGCATAGCATACCATGCTTCACGAGGCTGGAGTGTGTTGTTAACAATTTAAACCACTTTCAACAGCAAGGTTGGTTGGGTATGTAGGTAGGTATCTACTAGAGAAGAATGTATCAAATGAAGTACGATAGTTATTCTGCTGTTGGTGTCCCATTACCTGTAATGGGGTGGAATAATGTGCAACTCGTTATATTTCCAGTTCCATTCTAATCTGAAGATGATAGGCGAGTGTGTTGCGTGGTGCAGTGCTGTAATTGGGATGGGTGCAGGGACAATAAATACTTTAACTGCAGACCACACCAAATCAGTCATTCTGTTTCTTCTGGCTCAACCGTTCCGGGGACTAGTGTAGCGAGTAATAACGAACCCGTCTTTTGAGTTCTTGAAATTTCCAAATTTCAAGGACAGCAGTGCTAAAGCAAAAGCGCCCCTCCAACACCACATGCGCCAAGCGCAGTGACGTGCGATATGCGAGTTTGCTGTTGTCACACCGAGGCTTGCATGCTGCTTGCGAGCGTGAATGTCCCGCAAGAATAGCTCTTGACCGTGTCGCGTTACTTTAGGGTTATGACGGTGTTTTCGCAGCCACGTGTGACGAGAATGGAGTCTCGAGAGCGTCGCAAGGCCGCTAGCAGCAAACGGAGTAGTCGTCAGATAACCGACTTGGAGCAGCTAGGCGAAGGCTTGCGACGACTTACGAATGAAGTTGTTTACGGCGACGCCCTGCGATCTTTTGCGTGCGACGTGGGGACCTTGGCGAATAAAGGAGCGCCATCTGCGAAAAAGGCGGGCGAAGGGTTGCATCTCGTCAATACCTGCGCCTGGATGCCAGCTGGCAGCACGCCTCTTGACTCGTTAGCGCTTATCGCGTCGCAAATGAGCGCGCAGTCCTCGCCGTTAATCGCGGTGCGTCTCGTGATAGCCGTTCTTCACGCCCTTTCATTTATAGCGGTCGTCGCTAACTTCGTCACAATCAGAAGCATCTTGACTTGCTTGACCTCCTTAATTATCTTGACTCTCTTGACTATCGTGAATGTGTTTTTTCTCTTTTTCTTTCCTTTTTTTTTTTATTTTGCATTCTTTTCTCCTCCGCTGTGAACTTTCTGCTCCGCGCAGGACCTTCGTCGTAAATTGCTGGAAGCGGGTCGGCCGCGCGTGGCCGCCTTGAAGCGCCTCTCCGTCAGCGCGCTTAGGCTGCTCGCCGCCCTCTTCGGCCTCCCGCTCCCGCTCCCCCTCCCCTCCGCGCGCCGACCCCTCGCTGCCTCGCCCGCTGCATTTCCTCCCCGCGCAACTTCCGCCGCATGTAACGGCGTTTCGTCCGTCGCTCTTGTTTCCAAAGCTTCCCGCCAAAGCACGACCGCCGGGTGCGGGCGTTTGAAGGAGGAGCTGATAAACCTCATTCTGACGGATTCCGTTTGGAAAATGGGCGATTTTCCGGCCAAGGTTGACGGAGGGATGGCCGGGATAAGGGAGAGAATGATGACGGAAGGCGAGCTGCGCGCCGAGTTCGAGACGGGGGGGAATCGGCGGAAGGGGGTAGAAAGGCCGCGAGAGAGGGAAGGGGGGAGGGAGGGGGAAAGGAGGAGCAAGGGGGAATGGAGCAAGGAGGGAGTTTGGAGGGAGGTGCGACAGGGGAGGGAGGTGCGACAGGGGAGGGAGGTGCGACAGGGGAGGGAGGTGCGACAGGGGAGGGAGGTGCGACAGGGGAGGGAGGTGCGACAGGGGAGGGAGGTGCGACAGGGGAGGGAGGGGACAAGGAGGAGGGAGGCGAAAAGGGTGGAAAGTGATTCGCGGAAGAGCAGGGAAGGGCGGAGGGAGCGTGCGGGGAGAGAGAGGCATGCTGGCGAAGGAAGCGATGCAGTGGGGTGCGGAGGGGTGGAGGAGGATAAGGCGAGTGGTGGAGGGATGGATGGGGAGAGAGCAGATGCTGTAAGAACCAGCGACAGGGATGGCGGGTGTGGCAGGGGCGCAGGGTGGGCGCTGGGCCCACAGCAGGCGGGGCAGCGCAAAAAGAGGGTGAAAGCAGTGGCAGTGGCAGTGGCGGCAGGGGAAGGTGCATGTGAGAGGGACCGCAAGTATGAGCCTGGTGGGGGAAGGGGTAGGGGTGGGGCGGTGGAGTGTGCGGTGTGTGCGAGTGTGGGGAACGATGAGGTTGGAGGGGCGATGGCAGGAGATGAAAAGGTGGGCAAGAGTGACTCGCCCGTGATTCTGATGCCTCTGTTGCCCGTGCTGCCCGTGCTGCCCGTGCTGCCCGTGCTGCCCGTGCCATCTGTGCTGCCTGTGCTGCCAGCAGTGCCAGTGAGTGCGGGCAGGAGCACAGAGGGCGGAGGGGTCTGCCAGAGTGCAGCACAGTTCTTTGCAAGCCGTGGGGCCGGCAGCAGGGCTTGTGGGAGGGGCGCTGGCGCATGTGAGCGTGCTACGGGAGGGGAAGACCTGGAGAGTGGTGCTGGCAGGGAAGGCTTGGAGTGTGGTGCTGGCAGGGAAAGGTGTGAATGTGGTGCGTGCAGCACGGCATGTGAAGGTGCCCGCCCTGCTGTGTGCTCCGCTGTTGACAGTCACGGGTTAAGTCAAGGGATCGACGCGGGGCAATGGCGAGATGGGGACGATGACCGAGACCAGACCATCTGTCGGACAAATGGAAAAGGAGGGACAGGAGGAGGGGGGGGAAGGGGAAAGGCAACAATGGCGTGGGACAGGTGTGCTGCTGCGACTGTGCGCCTTGCTTCTGCATCAACTGCCGTCATTCCCGCTCCTGCGGTGGCCCGAATCACTCCACCACCTCCCGTTTCTCCTCCCCATGCCACAAACTCACTCCTCCACCCGTGTTTCCTCCAAAGCTCAGAGGTGCAATTTGTGGCGGTCAGAGAAGCGATGGGGTGCAGTGAAAGGGCTGGGAGGGATGGGAGGGATGTACCGGGGTTGACAAGAGGGGACGCTGAGAGCAGCAGGGCACACGGAGGCTGCACACAGGGATCAACAGGCGGCCAGCCATGGCAGTGTGTTGAGAGCCGGTCTCGCTCCGCCACCCCTGAGCCGTTTCCTCGTGTGATCTGGACCTCTGTGTGGACAGGTGTCTCAATATGATTGGCGGAGCCGAGGACAGCGGCGATGGCACCGGTGGCCATGAGGAAGCTTCCATGCAAAGGGGCAGCAGATGGGGGCTGTTTGGGGCTGTGGGGATCCATCAAGCAGCATGTGTGTGTGAGGTGGGGGGTGTGCAGGGTGCGTTCATGCTGGAGCACATGGCAACAAGGGCTGCTGGGGGGAGTTTTCCGGCTGTTGCTGGTGGTGGTGCAGGTGGTGGCGGTGGTGGGGGTGCTTTATTTGGGGACGTGGGCCGAGTGGCGTTTGCACGGCACAAGGAGATGTTGACGGCAGCAGGGAGACGAGGCCACTGGCAGGAGTGACAGCTGGCAGGAGTGACAGCTGGCAGGAATGACAGCTGGCGCGAGTGACAAATGGCAGGAGTGACAGCTGGCAGGAGTGACAGCTGGCGGAGTGACAGCTGGCGGGAGTGACAGCTGGCGGGAGTGACAGCTGGCAGGAGTGACAGCTGGCAAGAGTGACAGCTGGCGGGAGTGTGGCGGGAGTGACAGCTGGCAGGAGTGACAGCTGGCAGGAGTGACAGCTGGCGGAGAGACAACTGGCGGGAGTAACAGCTGGCAGGAGTGACAGCTGGCGGGAGTGACAGCTGGCAGGAGTGACAGCTGGCGGAGTGACAGCTGGCGGGAGTGACAGCTGGCTAGAGTGACAGCTGGTGGGAGTGACAGGTGGCGGGAGTGACAGCGGGAGTGACAGCTGGCAGAGTGACAGCTGGCGGGAATGACAGCTGCGGGGCTGGCTTGTGCTTGATTCGGTCCGAGCCGAGGAGTATTTAATGACAGGAGGCCACTGGCAGGAATGACAGCTAGCAGGAGTGACAGCTGGCAGGAGTGCAGCTGGCGGGAGTGACAGCTGGCGGGATTGACAGCTGGCGGGACAGCTGGCGGGAGTGGCAGGAGTGACAGCTGGTGGGAGCTGGCGAGAGTGACAGCTAACTGGAGTGACAGCTGGCGGGAGTGACAGCTGGCGGGAGTGACAGCTGCGGGGCTGGCTTGTGCTTGATTCGGTCCGAGCCGAGGAGCCGAGGGTGTGTGGAGAAGAGGGGGGGGGGTGTGTGGCTATGTTGTCACAGTACAGAACCCACCCGTTGCGTGCTGTCAACACGTGGAATGGAGATAAGACAGATGTGTTACTTAACGGAGCACAAGAAGAGCTCAACCTGTTGTAAGCAGGTACACGTGTGATACGAGTGCGCGTGTCTAGTGTTATTTTAGTGTTCTAGTTTTCTAGCGATCGTTTTGCTATCGTGTTATTTTATTGTCGGGCTCGCGTATCCCTCCGCCTCCACTGTCAGAATCGTACCATGACTTAATAGCCCTAGCTAGGGTTTGAGCTAGGCATACCGTATTCCCCCGGACATACCACCCCCCGAAATAGAGCACCCCCCGGGTGGCTTGTGCGGGGGGGGTGCTATAGCGGGCCTCGTTTCTACTATACCCCCCCTTTTGGGGGCATCCTATATAGCACCCGGGGGGGGGGTGTTATGTACGGGTATAATTGCAGTTTTTGCCTAAGTAGCACAGGGTTTCCAATGATAATCCATCTACAGTTCAATGACGTGCCCGCCCAGCGAGGCAACCGAGGCTGTTGCGGGGACTCCGCCATTGTCACCTGCATGAATCCTCGTCGTGCGACGAGGGGGTGTGATTTCGTCCAATCAGGGCCTGACAGTGGGCCTTGTTGGAGCTTGCAATGTGGCAGCTAACCCTCGCGCAAAACGTTTTCGCCCAGTCCTCGGTTTTGCGCACCCAACCAGCAATCTACCACCACGGCACAGATGTACATTTAGTACTAAACGTTTTACGCTATAAAAAAATATACATTATGTAAAGACCCGGGTGCAATGTAGCTTTTTCCGATGACAAGACCCCCCCCCCCCCCTTTTTTTTGTGTAGTTATCATAGCACCCTAGGGTGGTATATCCGGGGGAATACGGTAGCTGGAGGGAACACACAATAAAATAACGGAGGGTACACGTGTGAATAAAAAGAGTGCATGTGGAAGCCAATGGCGAAGCTGTGATAACTCAAATACCGGTACAACGAATCATGTCACAAAAGGAAATGTGATGGGTGCCTATCCAGGCAGTCCCATCCAGTCATCTGCTCCACCACTACCCCATCCTACTCAACCATGGCTTCTTGACTGAGCATAATCTATTTATGTGTACTTCACACACTGTTTGAATTGCAGATACCGTATGAGAGCAACAGGGCAAAATTGCTCCTGAAAAAGGCTCAAGTAAACACAGCCAATCTGTCATGTGCGAATCGGGTTGAGGCCAATATTGAGATCGGAGGCAATGGAAACGATCAGGGGCTGGGTGGGATGCCAGGCGGCCTTGAAGACCCGCTTGTCGTGCGCGTCCACTGTGAGCAGCGGCTTCATGCCCCCCCACCGCACGTCGAATATGTGCACCTTGGGATCTGCTGACCCCACGCTGATCTGCAGGCAAGCACGTGATAAAAAAAGTGCTTTGAGACGGTTTGAGAATTCTCAAAGTCACCGAGAGTGGGCTTCATGCCCCAAGGCGCACCCCAAGGCGCGCCTTGGGGTGCGCCTTGGGGTGCGCCTTGGGGTGCGCCGACCCCACACTGACCTGCAGCCCACTGGGCGCCCAGCAGGAGGAGATGAGCGCGGATTGTGAGTCGGACGCCGACTGCTCCCACCCGAAAATGTGCTGCTGCTTGCGCGGCGCTCGGAAGTCGTACAGCCTCAGCTGCTCACATGGCGTGCTGCCATTGGTGGCGCAGCACAACGGGATGGTCGGAAAATAAAGGGCGAAAGGAAGGGAGGGGGGAAGGGGGGTGGTTAGCGGCTTACAGAGAGCAAGAAAGGAAGCTCACAAGGCGTGCTTGAGGGCACAGTGAATAACTGCACTTAGCTGAACCCGAGGCAGCCCACAGTACCCTGTTTGCACAAGGGCGAGGGTGAAAGAGAGTGTGAGAGCGAGCAGCAAGTGAGTGAGGCATGGCACACACCAGAAACACTCAGCTGCCCCCATCACCCTCTTGCCATGCCACAGTGCATCACGGTCCACCAACCAAGCACGAGCACACCTAGCAAGCACGAGCACACCTAGCAAGCACGAGCACACCTAGCAAGCACGAGCACACCTAGCAAGCACGAGCACACGTGAGGGTGCACGTGAGGGTGCTCCAGCAGTGCGCACCCGGACTGAACGAGGAAGAGGTTGAAGTCAACGGGGTTGGCGAGCACGTCAGTGAGGCGCGAGTCCAGCATGGCGGACAACACCAGCTGCGCTCCGCCCCTCTCTGCATCGCACCCCAGAATGCGCTTGTCTGCCGCCACCGACAGCACCACGCTGCGCCCCCTCAGCCCCTCCGTGGCGTACACCCCCGCCGTGTGCCGCGTGCCATGCAGCAGCTGCACGGGCAGGGGGAGGGCGGGGGGGTGATGGGGACACATGGCCAGGAGGGGTGATGGGGACACATGGGCAGGAGGGGGACGTGTTGCGGGGAGAGGATCTGGGGGAAGGGACGGGGGGGGAGAGGAGGTGGTGAATGAGAGGGGTGACAAATAGCGGGGGCGGAAATGCAGCTGTGTGCTGCCTGTAAATGACCGCAGCAACAGTGTGTGCCGCTGTGGTTCCTTTCGCCCGCCTCAACCCTCCAGTTCCTTTGTAGCACACATACCAGCATGTGTCGTTCGTGTGCTAAGCACACACTGGCGCTGCGACAACCGGCACTCACTCACAGCACACGACTGGCACTCACTCACAGCACACGACTGGCACTCGCTCACACCACACGACACAAACCCCAACCCTTCACAAGCCCACGCAACCACACAGCCCTTGCCACCCCCTCACCTTGGGCGTCAGCTTGGGCAGGTCCCCTGCTGCCCCTGCGCCGCCCCCTTGAGCGTGCTCCTCGCGCCACAGCACGACCCCGTGGTCGCTGCCACCCGTGGCGAACACAAAAGGAGGCCCCTCCCACGGCAGGTAGCGGATGCTGTTGATCACGCCCTTCTGGTGCGGCCTCGCCGGCAGAGGCACACAGGGGGCCTGCGGGGGTGGGGGAGAGCAAACACGTGCAGAGAGCAAACGAGTGGAGAGAGCAGGGCTTGAGGAACCGATGTGAGCTGAGCGGGATGGGGCAGGGAGGAAGGAGTGGAAGGAAGGCGGGCAGTGGAGGCAGGAAGTGAATGCTGGTGGTTCTTCCTTGTGGGAGAAGCTGAGCAAAAGCACAGACAGCACAGGTGCCAGCCGTGGTGCTCACATTGGGTGCATTCCTGAGAGCCGCCAGCTGGCACGCCTTGCCGTCCGCCTCAAAGGCGGCGACCAGGTGCGAGCCCGAGGGGTGCCATGCTATGTCCTCCGGCCAGCGCTTGCAAGGCGCACAGTCCGCTGTGAAGCGCCGACTCATGTTGCGCCTGTGAGAGGGGCACGATGGGAACGATGGGATTGAAGGCGAGGGGCATGATGGGATTGAAGGCGAGGGGCATGATGGGATTGAAGGCGAGGGGCATGATGGGATTGAAGGCGAGGGGCATGATGGGATTGAAGGCGAGGGGCATGATGGGATTGAAGGCGAGGGGCATGATGGGATTGAAGGCGAGGGGCATGATGGGATTGAAGGCGAGGGGCATGATGGGATTGAAGGCGAGGGGCATGATGGGATTGACGGCGAGGGGCATGATGGGATTGAAGGCGAGGGGCATGATGGGATTGAAGGCGAGGGGCATGATGGGATTGAAGGCGAGGGGCATGATGGGATTGAAGGCGAGGGGCATGATGGGATTGACGGCGAGGGGCATGATGGGATTGAAGGCGAGGGGCATGATGGGATTGAAGGCGAGGGGCATGATGGGATTGAAGGCGAGGGGCATGATGGGATTGAAGGCGAGGGGCATGATGGGATTGAAGGCGAGGGGCATGATGGGATTGAAGGCGAGGGGCATGATGGGATTGAAGGCGAGGGGCATGATGGGATTGAAGGCGAGGGGCATGATGGGATTGAAGGCGAGGGGCATGATGGGATTGAAGGCGAGGGGCATGATGGGATTGAAGGCGAGGGGCATGATGGGATTGAAGGCGAGGGGCATGATGGGATTGAAGGCGAGGGGCATGATGGGATTGAAGGCGAGGGGCATGATGGGATTGAAGGCGAGGGGCATGATGGGATTGAAGGCGAGGGGCATGATGGGATTGAAGGCGAGGGACATGATGGGATTGAAGGCGAGGGGCATGATGGGATTGAAGGCGAGGGGCATGATGGGATTGAAGGCGAGGGGCATGATGGGATTGAAGGCGAGGGGCATGATGGGATTGAAGGCGAGGGGCATGATGGGATGGAAGGCGAGGGGCATGATGGGATGGAAGGCGAGGGGCATGATGGGATGGAAGGCGAGGGGCATGATGGGATTGAAGGCGAGGGACATGATGGGATTGAAGGCGAGGGGCATGATGGGATTGAAGGCGAGGGGCATGATGGGATTGAAGGCGAGGGGCATGATGGGATTGAAGGCGAGGGGCATGATGGGATTGAAGGCGAGGGGCATGATGGGATTGAAGGCGAGGGGCATGATGGGATTGAAGGCGAGGGGCATGATGGGATTGAAGGCGAGGGGCATGATGGGATTGAAGGCGAGGGGCATGATGGGATTGAAGGCGAGGGGCATGATGGGATTGAAGGCGAGGGGCATGATGGGATTGAAGGCGAGGGGCATGATGGGATTGAAGGCGAGGGGCATGATGGGATTGAAGGCGAGGGGCATGATGGGATTGAAGGCGAGGGGCATGATGGGATTGAAGGCGAGGGGCATGATGGGATTGAAGGCGAGGGGCATGATGGGATTGAAGGCGAGGGGCATGATGGGATTGAAGGCGAGGGGCATGATGGGATTGAAGGCGAGGGGCATGATGGGATTGAAGGCGAGGGGCATGATGGGATTGAAGGCGAGGGGCATGATGGGATTGAAGGCGAGGGGCATGATGGGATTGAAGGCGAGGGGCATGATGGGATTGAAGGCGAGGGGCATGATGGGATGGAAGGCGAGGGGCATGATGGGATGGAAGGCGAGGGGCATGATGGGATGGAAGGCGAGGGGCATGATGGGATTGAAGGCGAGGGGCATGATGGGATTGAAGGCGAGGGGCATGATGGGATTGAAGGCGAGGGGCATGATGGGATTGAAGGCGAGGGGCATGATGGGATTGAAGGCGAGGGGCATGATGGGATTGAAGGCGAGGGGCATGATGGGATTGAAGGCGAGGGGCATGATGGGATTGAAGGCGAGGGGCATGATGGGATTGAAGGCGAGGGGCATGATGGGATTGAAGGCGAGGGGCATGATGGGATTGAAGGCGAGGGGCATGATGGGATTGAAGGCGAGGGGCATGATGGGATGGAAGGCGAGGGGCATGATGGGATGGAAGGCGAGGGGCATGATGGGATGGAAGGCGAGGGGCATGATGGGATTGAAGGCGAGGGGCATGATGGGATTGAAGGCGAGGGGCATGATGGGATTGAAGGCGAGGGGCATGATGGGATTGAAGGCGAGGGGCATGATGGGATTGAAGGCGAGGGGCATGATGGGATTGAAGGCGAGGGGCATGATGGGATTGAAGGCGAGGGGCATGATGGGATTGAAGGCGAGGGGCATGATGGGATTGAAGGCGAGGGGCATGATGGGATTGAAGGCGAGGGGCATGATGGGATTGAAGGCGAGGGGCATGATGGGATTGAAGGCGAGGGGCATGATGGGATTGAAGGCGAGGGGCATGATGGGATTGAAGGCGAGGGGCATGATGGGATTGAAGGCGAGGGGCATGATGGGATTGAAGGCGAGGGGCATGATGGGATTGAAGGCGAGGGGCATGACGGGATGGAAGGCGAGGGGCATGATGGGATGGAAGGCGAGGGGCATGATGGGATGGAAGGCGAGGGGCATGATGGGATTGAAGGCGAGGGGCATGATGGGATTGAAGGCGAGGGGCATGATGGGATTGAAGGCGAGGGGCATGATGGGATTGAAGGCGAGGGGCATGATGGGATTGAAGGCGAGGGGCATGATGGGATTGAAGGCGAGGGGCATGATGGGATTGAAGGCGAGGGGCATGATGGGATTGAAGGCGAGGGGCATGATGGGATTGAAGGCGAGGGGCATGATGGGATTGAAGGCGAGGGGCATGATGGGATTGAAGGCGAGGGGCATGATGGGATTGAAGGCGAGGGGCATGATGGGATTGAAGGCGAGGGGCATGATGGGATTGAAGGCGAGGGGCATGATGGGATTGAAGGCGAGGGGCATGATGGGATTGAAGGCGAGGGGCATGATGGGATTGAAGGCGAGGGGCATGATGGGATTGAAGGCGAGGGGCATGATGGGATTGAAGGCGAGGGGCATGATGGGATTGAAGGCGAGGGGCATGATGGGATTGAAGGCGAGGGGCATGATGGGATGGAAGGCGAGGGGCATGATGGGATGGAAGGCGAGGGGCATGATGGGATGGAAGGCGAGGGGCATGATGGGATTGAAGGCGAGGGGCATGATGGGATTGAAGGCGAGGGGCATGATGGGATTGAAGGCGAGGGGCATGATGGGATTGAAGGCGAGGGGCATGATGGGATTGAAGGCGAGGGGCATGATGGGATTGAAGGCGAGGGGCATGATGGGATTGAAGGCGAGGGGCATGATGGGATTGAAGGCGAGGGGCATGATGGGATTGAAGGCGAGGGGCATGATGGGATTGAAGGCGAGGGACATGATGGGATTGAAGGCGAGGGGCATGATGGGATTGAAGGCGAGGGGCATGATGGGATTGAAGGCGAGGGGCATGATGGGATTGAAGGCGAGGGGCATGATGGGATGGAAGGCGAGGGGCATGATGGGATGGAAGGCGAGGGGCATGATGGGATGGAAGGCGAGGGGCATGATGGGATTGAAGGCGAGGGGCATGATGGGATTGAAGGCGAGGGGCATGATGGGATTGAAGGCGAGGGGCATGATGGGATTGAAGGCGAGGGGCATGATGGGATTGAAGGCGAGGGGCATGATGGGATTGAAGGCGAGGGGCATGATGGGATTGAAGGCGAGGGGCATGATGGGATTGAAGGCGAGGGGCATGATGGGATTGAAGGCGAGGGGCATGATGGGATTGAAGGCGAGGGGCATGATGGGATTGAAGGCGAGGGGCATGATGGGATTGAAGGCGAGGGGCATGATGGGATTGAAGGCGAGGGGCATGATGGGATTGAAGGCGAGGGGCATGATGGGATTGAAGGCGAGGGGCATGATGGGATTGAAGGCGAGGGGCATGATGGGATTGAAGGCGAGGGGCATGATGGGATGGAAGGCGAGGGGCATGATGGGATGGAAGGCGAGGGGCATGATGGGATTGAAGGCGAGGGGCATGATGGGATTGAAGGCGAGGGGCATGATGGGATTGAAGGCGAGGGGCATGATGGGATTGAAGGCGAGGGGCATGATGGGATTGAAGGCGAGGGGCATGATGGGATTGAAGGCGAGGGGCATGATGGGATTGAAGGCGAGGGGCATGATGGGATTGAAGGCGAGGGGCATGATGGGATTGAAGGCGAGGGGCATGATGGGATTGAAGGCGAGGGGCATGATGGGATTGAAGGCGAGGGGCATGATGGGATTGAAGGCGAGGGGCATGATGGGATGGAAGGCGAGGGGCATGATGGGATGGAAGGCGAGGGGCATGATGGGATGGAAGGCGAGGGGCATGATGGGATTGAAGGCGAGGGGCATGATGGGATTGAAGGCGAGGGGCATGATGGGATTGAAGGCGAGGGGCATGATGGGATTGAAGGCGAGGGGCATGATGGGATTGAAGGCGAGGGGCATGATGGGATTGAAGGCGAGGGGCATGATGGGATTGAAGGCGAGGGGCATGATGGGATTGAAGGCGAGGGGCATGATGGGATTGAAGGCGAGGGGCATGATGGGATTGAAGGCGAGGGGCATGATGGGATTGAAGGCGAGGGGCATGATGGGATTGAAGGCGAGGGGCATGATGGGATGGAAGGCGAGGGGCATGATGGGATGGAAGGCGAGGGGCATGATGGGATGGAAGGCGAGGGGCATGATGGGATTGAAGGCGAGGGGCATGATGGGATTGAAGGCGAGGGGCATGATGGGATTGAAGGCGAGGGGCATGATGGGATTGAAGGCGAGGGGCATGATGGGATTGAAGGCGAGGGGCATGATGGGATTGAAGGCGAGGGGCATGATGGGATTGAAGGCGAGGGGCATGATGGGATTGAAGGCGAGGGGCATGATGGGATTGAAGGCGAGGGGCATGATGGGATTGAAGGCGAGGGGCATGATGGGATTGAAGGCGAGGGGCATGATGGGATTGAAGGCGAGGGGCATGATGGGATTGAAGGCGAGGGGCATGATGGGATTGAAGGCGAGGGGCATGATGGGATTGAAGGCGAGGGGCATGATGGGATTGAAGGCGAGGGGCATGATGGGATTGAAGGCGAGGGGCATGATGGGATTGAAGGCGAGGGGCATGATGGGATTGAAGGCGAGGGGCATGATGGGATTGAAGGCGAGGGGCATGATGGGATGGAAGGCGAGGGGCATGATGGGATGGAAGGCGAGGGGCATGATGGGATGGAAGGCGAGGGGCATGATGGGATTGAAGGCGAGGGGCATGATGGGATTGAAGGCGAGGGGCATGATGGGATTGAAGGCGAGGGGCATGATGGGATTGAAGGCGAGGGGCATGATGGGATTGAAGGCGAGGGGCATGATGGGATGGAAGGCGAGGGGCATGATGGGATTGAAGGCGAGGGGCATGATGGGATTGAAGGCGAGGGGCATGATGGGATTGAAGGCGAGGGGCATGATGGGATTGAAGGCGAGGGGCATGATGGGATTGAAGGCGAGGGGCATGATGGGATGAAGGCGAGGGGCATGATGGGATGGAAGGCGAGGGGCATGATGGGATTGAAGGCGAGGGGCATGATGGGATTGAAGGCGAGGGGCATGATGGGATTGAAGGCGAGGGGCATGATGGGATTGAAGGCGAGGGGCATGATGGGATTGAAGGCGAGGGGCATGATGGGATTGAAGGCGAGGGGCATGATGGGATTGAAGGCGAGGGGCATGATGGGATTGAAGGCGAGGGGCATGATGGGATTGAAGGCGAGGGGCATGATGGGATTGAAGGCGAGGGGCATGATGGGATTGAAGGCGAGGGGCATGATGGGATTGAAGGCGAGGGGCATGATGGGATTGAAGGCGAGGGGCATGATGGGATTGAAGGCGAGGGGCATGATGGGATTGAAGGCGAGGGGCATGATGGGATTGAAGGCGAGGGGCATGATGGGATTGAAGGCGAGGGGCATGATGGGATTGAAGGCGAGGGGCATGATGGGATTGAAGGCGAGGGGCATGATGGGATTGAAGGCGAGGGGCATGATGGGATTGAAGGCGAGGGGCATGATGGGATTGAAGGCGAGGGGCATGATGGGATTGAAGGCGAGGGGCATGATGGGATTGAAGGCGAGGGGCATGATGGGATTGAAGGCGAGGGGCATGATGGGATTGAAGGCGAGGGGCATGATGGGATTGAAGGCGAGGGGCATGATGGGATGAAGGCGAGGGGCATGATGGGATGGAAGGCGAGGGGCATGATGGGATGGAAGGCGAGGGGCATGATGGGATTGAAGGCGAGGGGCATGATGGGATTGAAGGCGAGGGGCATGATGGGATTGAAGGCGAGGGGCATGATGGGATTGAAGGCGAGGGGCATGATGGGATTGAAGGCGAGGGGCATGATGGGATGAAGGCGAGGGGCATGATGGGATTGAAGGCGAGGGGCATGATGGGATTGAAGGCGAGGGGCATGATGGGATTGAAGGCGAGGGGCATGATGGGATTGAAGGCGAGGGGCATGATGGGATTGAAGGCGAGGGGCATGATGGGATTGAAGGCGAGGGGCATGATGGGATGGAAGGCGAGGGGCATGATGGGATTGAAGGCGAGGGGCATGATGGGATTGAAGGCGAGGGGCATGATGGGATTGAAGGCGAGGGGCATGATGGGATTGAAGGCGAGGGGCATGATGGGATTGAAGGCGAGGGGCATGATGGGATTGAAGGCGAGGGGCATGATGGGATTGAAGGCGAGGGGCATGATGGGATTGAAGGCGAGGGGCATGATGGGATTGAAGGCGAGGGGCATGATGGGATTGAAGGCGAGGGGCATGATGGGATTGAAGGCGAGGGGCATGATGGGATTGAAGGCGAGGGGCATGATGGGATTGAAGGCGAGGGGCATGATGGGATTGAAGGCGAGGGGCATGATGGGATTGAAGGCGAGGGGCATGATGGGATTGAAGGCGAGGGGCATGATGGGATTGAAGGCGAGGGGCATGATGGGATTGAAGGCGAGGGGCATGATGGGATGGAAGGCGAGGGGCATGATGGGATGGAAGGCGAGGGGCATGATGGGATTGAAGGCGAGGGGCATGATGGGATTGAAGGCGAGGGGCATGATGGGATTGAAGGCGAGGGGCATGATGGGATTGAAGGCGAGGGGCATGATGGGATTGAAGGCGAGGGGCATGATGGGATTGAAGGCGAGGGGCATGATGGGATTGAAGGCGAGGGGCATGATGGGATTGAAGGCGAGGGGCATGATGGGATTGAAGGCGAGGGGCATGATGGGATTGAAGGCGAGGGGCATGATGGGATTGAAGGCGAGGGGCATGATGGGATTGAAGGCGAGGGGCATGATGGGATTGAAGGCGAGGGGCATGATGGGATTGAAGGCGAGGGGCATGATGGGATTGAAGGCGAGGGGCATGATGGGATTGAAGGCGAGGGGCATGATGGGATTGAAGGCGAGGGGCATGATGGGATTGAAGGCGAGGGGCATGATGGGATTGAAGGCGAGGGGCATGATGGGATTGAAGGCGAGGGGCATGATGGGATGGAAGGCGAGGGGCATGATGGGATGGAAGGCGAGGGGCATGATGGGATTGAAGGCGAGGGGCATGATGGGATGGAAGGCGAGGGGCATGATGGGATTGAAGGCGAGGGGCATGATGGGATTGAAGGCGAGGGGCATGATGGGATTGAAGGCGAGGGGCATGATGGGATTGAAGGCGAGGGGCATGATGGGATTGAAGGCGAGGGGCATGATGGGATTGAAGGCGAGGGGCATGATGGGATTGAAGGCGAGGGGCATGATGGGATTGAAGGCGAGGGGCATGATGGGATTGAAGGCGAGGGGCATGATGGGATTGAAGGCGAGGGGCATGATGGGATTGAAGGCGAGGGGCATGATGGGATTGAAGGCGAGGGGCATGATGGGATTGAAGGCGAGGGGCATGATGGGATTGAAGGCGAGGGGCATGATGGGATTGAAGGCGAGGGGCATGATGGGATTGAAGGCGAGGGGCATGATGGGATTGAAGGCGAGGGGCATGACAAGTAGAAACCACACGGGTCAACGCGAGGCAAGAGTAAAGGGGTGAAAGCGAGTAAAGGGCAGAGTGGTGAAGGGCAGAGTGGTGAAGGCGAGTGACAACTCACCCAGAGGCGGTGATGGTCCAGAAGCTGACAGTCCCGTCCAGCGAGCTGATAGGGGCGGATAGCAGCACGCCTCGCACATGAATGCAAGCAGCCATGCAGCCATGCACATACGACAACACATCCACAAACACGCACACTCACATGCAAGCAAGAAGAGGAGGTCTCCTGCACAGGAGTCAGCTGTATGGGATGGAAAGAACCCTCATGGTCACTCCTGAAACTGCAACTGCACCCAAAAATACTTGCACATTGCATTTGACATTAGGTCAGCCCAGCCGACAGCAACAGAGAGCGCACCTGACGGCAACAGAGAGCCCACCTGACAGCAACAGAGAGCGCACCTGACAGCACAGTGTGCGGGGTTGGCGGGATTGAAGGCAATGGAGCGCAGGCGGCGGCGGTGGTTGCTGGGAATGTATGTGGGCGGCAGCAGGTGTGGTAACCACCGCGCTGCCCTCTGCTCACTGCTCTCACTTCGCACCAGCTGCACAAGCTCCTCTGATTGGTCAGGTCCCACCGGCCAGTGCACTGTGAGGGGGACACATGAGGACACATGGGGACACATGGGGACACATGGGGACACATGAGGACACATGGGGACACATGAGGACACATGGGGACACATGAGGACACATGAGGACACATGGGGACACATGAGGACACATGGGGACACATGAGGACACATGGGGACACATGAGGACACATGGGGACACATGAGGACACATGGGGACACATGGGGACGCGGCTGCAAGCTTTGCAAGATGGCAGGGCGACAGGGATGGAGATGAAACATGGACAGAGGCGAAACATGGACAGCACAACCAGACGCTTGAGACAAAAGAGGCAAGAATATCCTAAATTAACCTGTTTTCTTATCTTCTTTTCCACGTTGCTCCTTCCCAGGAAGCCCCTTCCCCCCCCGCGTGCAGCCGACCCCCCCTGCAGCAGAAAGTCATCGTACGACATGCCTGCTGCCGCCCGTGCTGCGCCTCCTCCCGACACTTGCTGCTTCTTTCTGCCGCCACCCTCCTCGCCATCCTCCCTCCTACTGCACCTGGCAAGTGGCGACGCGCGCGTCCTGCCCGCGCCACCCTCATCGCCACGCACGCTCCCCCTCTCCGTGCTCCCTGCCGCCTTGCTACCAGCAGCAGCAGCATGGTGGCGGGGAACGGGAGACACGCTCCCCTTTCTGCCCTCTGCCACCCGCCGCGGCTCCTCCAGCGACTCTCCTCCTCCACCCACCTTCCGCCGCCCCTCCTCCTCGCCGCCCTGCTCACGCCTCCTCTTCCGCTCCCACGCCTCCTCCCTCGCGCTCCCCTCCTTCTCCCGTGCAAGCCCATTCCCGCGCATCTCCCGCACACCCGCATGTTCATCCTTCTCCCTCAAACTCACACTTACGTCCTTTGCCCCTCCACCACTCTGCCTCGCATCCCCGACACCACAATGTCTTCCATCCCCGACTCCCACCCCCTCTTCCCTTTGTCCTTTCTCATCATACCACTCACCTCTTTCCCCATCCCCCCCTCTACTCCCATCCCCCCCTCTACTCCCACCGCTCTCTCGTCCCCCTCTGCTGTCCCCACCCACGTCACCCCTACCAAACCTTTTGTCCCTGCTATCCCGAACCTCCCTACCCAACCTTCCATCTCCCCTCTCCCGGACCTCCCTATCAAACCTTCCATCAAAGCTCTCCCGAGCGTCCCTACCAGGGCCGGCATCACCTCGATCCCCGCTCACAATCTGCCCGCTGCTCTCGCCCCGCCTGTTCTTTCCTTGCAAATTATCACTCTCCCTTTCAGCGTCAGCCTGCGACTGCTGGTCCCTACTATTGCCCGCCTGAGCGCCGCGCGGAGTCCGCTCGTGCGCGTCTCCACTCCCCTGCGCACTCCGCCCCACCCCCTGCCACCGAGCCCGCACGCCCTCCGGAGTCTCTACATCATCTGACTGAGGAGGCGATTTCTCGGAAGCTGCCAGCACGGCTGCTGGCTGCTCAGAAGGCCGTTCACGAGTGTCGCCGCCGCGCAACCGCGCGATCGCCGCTTCGGTCGCCGCCAGTCGCTCGGCTGCCGCGTCCGCCTGCGTCAGCAGCTGCTGCCGCTCCTTCCGCTGCCTGCGCGCCACGCGCTCCAGCTCCGCGATGCGCGCATGACGATCGCCCCCGTCGTCGCCATCAGCGGCTGCATAGTCACGAGCAGCACGCACTTGGGTTGGCGTTGAAGCCATTCCTAAATTCTGATTGCCAAAATGGGCTCGAAATTGTGTGATGGCCCAATGTCACCCTCACAGGGAAATCCCTTACATGCGAGGACCTGCAGGTTAGGGCGTGGTGCAACCTGATTTGTTTCAATATTTTCTTCCCGAAGAAGTTCGAACTTCCGTACACATGCTCGAACTTCTGCGTGAGGATGCTCGAACTTCCGAACTGTACAGATGCTCGAACTTCTTTGGATTCTATTTCAGAAAGTTGTTAGAGGTCAGCGCTTTCATAATACATAACTGTACAGTTCATCCGTCGCGGCGCAAAAAGATCCAGCTAGTTTAGAGCGGTTTTAAAGATAACCGTTCTAAACCGTGACAAAACAAGAGTAACCGTTCAGAATGAACTGTAATGAAACTGTAAACGAACGCGCTACACCGCCCTAAGGTTGCAGCGCGCCCGCAGGGCCGCTGGATCGCGACAATGTCGAATCGGTAACGCAATTCGTAACTCCGCAACCCGGGCCGAGCACATATCATTGAAACCACGAGGATACCCCCCAGCTTCGCGTGCAGGTTCGGCATCAGATTTCGCATGTCACTGGACTGGAGGCTATAGTGGGAGACTACAATCACAGAAGATTAGCTCTCACACTTTTAGAGCGCTGAAGCAGGTAGAGTCACAGCTTTTTGCGTGCGCCACGGTCATCTTTAAGCGGCTGTTTGGTTTATGTGAAGATCCGTCTTATTCGCGCTGTGATAATAACCAGAAGTGTTTTTTTTCCGGAACAATCATATTCTCTTCTCCTGCCGTCAGCTTTTGCTTATCGATTTCCCATCTGTAGATCGGACGACTCCAATGGACGGCTGGGATAACACGACCAAATCGACGGTTCAAAAGATCCCGCTGCTGACCGTTAAAGCAGGCCCGCGAGATGATCAATGGAAGCAAAGACTCAAGGAGGAGTTTCAGGTGCGTTGAAACGAGCCTCGCAACGAGCCGTAGAACGAGTTTCGGAATGTTGGTGCGTGAGAACGTAACAGCAACCTAACAACGAGTTACATGAGTAACCGATGCACAGTTTTCTTCCCCACCTCCCGGGCTCCCCCTCCCCCAACCCCCCACACCTTTCCCTCCTCCCATGCTCTGATCGAGTCGAGTACGTGAGGATGAGCGATGCGTGCATGTGCAGCCTCCTGTCCACCCGAATGTCCGCCCCTTCCGGCCCCCAACCCCCCACCCACTCCCCCCTCCCGCCGCACCCGTTCCCCCCCCAGGCGCTGACTGAGCACATCGAGATGAACAAGTCGTGCATGAGTAACCCGGTAACCCCACTGACAGCTCTCTTCCCCTCCACCCACCCGACTTGCTCCCTTCCAACCCCCCGCACCTTTCCCCCCTTCTTCCCGCGTCTCAGGCGTTGATAGAGTACGTGAAATGAACAAGGCGCGCGACCACGAATGGGTCCAGCTGCAGTTTGTTTTCGCTCAACCCACTCCCCACAAACCTCCCCCACCCCCCCACACAACCCCGTCCCCCTTCTCCCGCGTCGCCCGCGTGGCAGGCGCTGATAGAGTACGTGAAGATGAACAAGGCGCGCGACAACGACTGGTTCCAGCTCGCACCCGCCAATGCCGAGGGCACCAAGTGGAAGGGCAAATGCTGGTGCGTGGGGTGCATGGGTCACGGGTGGGTGGGGTGCATGGGTCACGGGTGGGTGGGGTGCATGGGTCACGGGTGGGTGGGGTGCATGGGTCACGGGTGCGTGGGGTGCATGGGTCACGGGTGCGTGGGGTGCATGGGTCACGGGTGGGTGGGGTGCATGGGTCACGGGTGGGTGGGGTGCATGGGTCACGGGTGGGTGGGGTGCATGGGTCACGGGTGGGTGGGGTGCATGGGTCACGGGTGGGTGGGGTGCATGGGTCACGGGTGGGTGGGGTGCATGGGTCACGGGTGGGTGGGGTGCATGGGTCACGGGTGGGTGGGGTGCATGGGTCACGGGTGGGTGGGGTGCATGGGTCACGGGTGGGTTGGGTGGTTGGTGGAGCTGAATGGAGCTGACGCATGCGAGGCTACTGCTAATGCCGAGGGCATCAAGTGGAAGGGCAAATGCTGGTGGGTGGGGTGCATGGGTGGGCGGATGGGTGGGTAGGTGTGGGTGGGTGGGTGGATGGGTAGGTGGGTGGGCGGTTTGGTGGGTGGGTGTGTGGGTGGGTGCGTGGATGGGTGGGTGCGTGGGTGGGTGGGTGCGTGGGTGGGTATTGCTGACAGGATGTGGATGAGATTAGCTTGTAGTCCTGCAAAGCTTCTGTAAGAGTCCCTATCTCCCTCTCTCCCTCTCCTCCCCCTGTCTCTCTCCCTCTCTCCCCCTGTCTCTCCCTCTCTCCCCCTGTCTCTCCCTCTCTCCCTCTCTCCCTCTCTCCCTCTCTCCCCCCCTCTCCCCCTGTCTCTCTCTCTCTCCCTCTCTCCCTCTCTCCCTCTCTCCCTCTCTCCCTCTCTCCCTCTCTCCCTCTCTCCCTCTCTCCCTCTCTCTCCCCCTGTCTCTCCCTCTCTCCCTCTCTCCCTCTCTCCCTCTCTCCCTCTCTCCCTCTCTCCCTCTCTCCCTCTCTCCCTCTCTCCCTCTCTCCCTCTCTCCCTCTCTCCCTCTCTCCCTCTCTCCCTCTCTCCCTCTCTCCCTCTCTCCCTCTCTCCCTCTCTCCCTCTCT